GTGAGATAATTACATTTTAATAAGTTTAATTTATCGATTAACCATGAGTGTCAGTTAAAGGATTTCATGACAGGTTGTGTTGAAACAGCAACAGCATTAACAAAGTATACTAAAATGATTCTCATATACAAAAAGACGTTCTAGAATTATTCCCAAAGGTGTGAGTTGCTGAGCACTGAACAGGAAATTCTAAATGTAAGGTCAAAACTGCAAAGATGTAAAAATAGCTGAGTATATTTTTATAATGTTGCTACTTTGGTCTAAAATTTACAAATCCATGGTCAATTACTTTGTCTATCTAAGGCAGGCTTCCCCAAACTCCGACCCTCCAGATGTTGCTGAACTACAACTCCCATGATTCTCAGCCTATCTATTTCATTCATAGACTCATGGGAGTTGTAGTTCAGCAACATCTGGAGGGCTGGAGTTTGAGGAAGCCTGATCTAAGGCTTCTCTACTTTATTCAATACAAAATATAAAAGCATTGCCTGAGGGCAGTCCATACCAGAATATCGCTGCACAGCTGGGGAACCTACTCATAATGCTGTTTGTGTTAGTATGATCTTCAGCTTCTGATAGAATCCATAGCAGAGAGAGAATATCTCTCAACTGCTGGAGATCCTATACACTGTGATTCTTGTGTGAGTTGGTGCTTTAAAGGAGCAAAGTGTCACAAATGTGTGTGCAGTGGAGGCAAGGGTTAATGTGGCAGCAATCTGGCTACATATGGAGTTATACATATATGAGTCAATGTGAAAAAATATTGGATGAGAGAAGGATTCAGATCTCCCAGAGTCCTTGGCAGGTCACCATTTCAGGTAATATTGGTGAATGGGGCCAAGAGCATTTATAGTTTTTCAGGCCTGTGTCTAACCCTTTGCCCCTAGGTTACTGTCTAAGGTCCCCTTATAGTTTATTATGTTATTACAATTTGATGGCAATAGGGCACATGTAATTGCTTGAACAATAGCATCATATGTTAGAGGATTAAAGCATCTATGGGAAGACGGATGAATGGAAAGATCTGTGTCATAGATTAGGAGTATATAAAATGGCAAAAAGGTTACATATATAAAGTAGACAATATTTATCTATATAGGTAAAAGGTCTAGTAGGAACTATAAAATAAACATAAAAATAAGAAACAGAAAGCCAAAAAAAAAGTATCATTAAAGTATAAAAAAAATCTTCAATAAAATACCATTACTACATAAAGTGTTAAACATTCAAAATTAACTAACTTAATAGATAGTTAATGTTCCTTAATATTCCAATTGATGATATATACTGTCACTGTCACCCTCTACCCCCTTGAAAAATTAATCTTTTATAAAGCAATCTTTATGAAATATTCATACTGACTGTGTTGGAATTTCACTGAAGTCAAAAGATATACTGAGACAAAGTAGGTATTTTTCCTACACCTGACACTTCTAAACACTGGACGGCGCTACCACCGTCTAGAAGTGTCAATCTCCCAGAGATATTATCTATATCCATGGAGGATCCTGCATTCATAGACCTCAATGCTGTACTTTCACTCATGCGAAGGGGACCGGCCAGAAGAAAATGGATGTGCCCACAAGGGACAAGTTCAACTAAATAAATCTCTGCCCTTCCCCAGCCATTGCACAACCAAATTATGCAAATTCCCCAGACGGTGACAGTGCTTTGTAAAATTGTTTTAGCCTGATCTGTGTACTTACATTTTTCATACTTCGTTATAAATTAATGTGATCAGTATTATATGAAAACTTGCCTCTGAACATTTGTCTTTTCAATTATTATTATAGTCTATTCATCTAGACCCATAGTCCCTAGAATTTGTTGTGTGATTTTGGAAGAAACACATTCTAATTTCAGTGTCATCTTTAGATATTCTGAACTTATAATACTACAACACTAAAGCCTCACACCTCTGGGCTAATGAACACTGCCTTACTACTTTGATCTAATTAGGCAAAAATCATATCATTATTGCTCTACAGACTTTTGCCACCCTAGGCAATGTATCCCCTTAATGTCATGTGTCTTCCGATTCTGTGAAACATTTGTTTCTCTGATAAAATATATTGCACATAATTTATGCCTTACATATGTCATGTTTTCTAGCTTTAATTTTTAAATCATCACTAAAGAAGAGGCCATACTGTCCTGAATTCTTGCAATCATTGCTCTCCCAGTGAACAACACATCTATAATTGGTATGACCTTTTTATCACAAGAGTACTTTTGTGTTTTTATTCTACCAGTTAAAAAAAAACAGCTATTCTTTCCCTTAGTAGTCAGTCTGCAAGACTATTTTTTGAATACTTGAGTGTTTGCAAGGGGCTTACGTTGGTTGCCAAAAGTGTAAAATTACAGACATTTTGAGCTAAAAGCATGAAAAAGTGAACAATTTCTTTCTCAATTGACTTTAAAGTGTCAAGAGGTGGCCAACATCATTATACTGTACTTTTTTTGTTTTTTGTTCAGAGAAATATTGAAGCCAGAGATGGTACAGGATAAGAGTCAAATTAGAGCTAACGAGAAAATGTAGATATTTCATAACTATTTCCAACTATACTAAACAACATTCTTTTAAAAAATGATAATACTATAATTTCACTAAGTGAAATTCACCTTGGAAATTGTATTTGAGATTTTTGTTTTCAATTCAAATATAGTTAATTACTTAGTCTTCAGATTCATAGCTAAGAGAATCCCTTATTATTAATACAGTTTAGATATGGGGTGCAGTCACCAGTAATGCACTCAAGTGTAGAATTTGTAATATAAAAAAGATAAGATAACAATAGAGAAATAAAATCATTGTATGATACCTGTGCCCGTACTGAATAATGGACTGTCTGAACAGGAAAACAACATAAATAATAAATACATTATTAAAAATCAATTGAAGTCAGGGCAAACAGAAATGTAGTGAGAATTTGTTCTATATGGGAATAAAACTCATACGAGTAAGTCCTAAAAGAAATATTTAGGTCCATTTTGTTGTTCATGTATTATGAATGTATACAAAACACTGATACCTTGATATGCTGTTCTAAACTGGTGGTTAAAACCAAACCATTAAATATAGGTGGTTTAAGTGTAAAACATATCTGCTATCATCATCTAAAGTAAGAAATTATATTGCCCTGTCCCACTCCTCCTACCCCCCAGCGCAAGGATGCCAAAAGGTGGATTCCCATCTGTCACCCATCTCCCACAATGGGATGCCAATTAGAGTTGCTTAAGATTGGGGGTAGAGATTGAGTGTGAGTGCTAGTGCAGATAGTTGAGCTCTAGTGCAGGGATGGAACAGAAGCTCAGAAAACTTCCTCCTTAATTTCCTTGGTCTGTCACAGTGCAAGGAGAAAATAATTTAATTGCATTAGGGATGTCTGTCCTTTTTTTTTAAGGCCTGGCTAGTAGCATAAGACTACAAATTTTAAGCCCTGTCTGTTTTAACCCTTTTAACCTACTTCTTTGCAATCTTCTGGTCATATCTCCTGCGACCATAAGGTTAGATTAATGAAATAATGTTTTGAATTTTTTTTTATTATTATTATTTATTTTGAAAGCTATTTTAATAGTTCATAAATGTAATATTTCAGGAGGTGGGGTTTCCAGAGATAGGGTGGAGTTAAATTCTGTATGTCGAGTCTGGTACCCTACCATCTTAAAATTTCACCAGCCACCTCTAGGGAACACAGCTAGGGTAAAGGTTGATGAAAGGATTCAGGCTGCCATGGAAACTGGTGGATAGTATGGTAATGGATAATATGGCAAAGTAGTTAGGGTTTTAAGAGGGTTGGGGAGAGACCCTGGCTATAAAAAAAAAAAAGTTCTACTTGCCCTTTGGACTGTGATGTCAGAACTAATGAGAAAATACAATAGCCTCATGATTTCAGTACATTTGAAACAAAACATCTGGCTGACTACCCCTGGTCTGATCTCTGAAACTTCTTTTTAGGATTTCAAAACAATAAGCAGGGGTTCTTTTTTGAGACGCTTCCGAAAGCAATAGGTGGTGACACTGCACTGCACCCAACAAACATAAGAATATGTTTATGTTGGCAGTAACATAGTACTGCATAAAACATAGTAGGATTAGAAAATAGTAATCTTCCATTCCATTTATTACAACCTGTCCAGGTAAGAGAGTTTGTAGCCACTTACATATTTTGCTGTTCAACAGGTTTTGATATATAGATTAAAACATTTGAAAATGGTTCTAGCCTTTCTTAAACCTCTTGTACCCTTCTGTAATCATTAGTACTTTCCTCTTCCTAGCTCTTTTACAAGAACAGTTGTTGAGCAAACAATAATAGGGATAGAGATTTGACATGGGAAAATGTATTCAAAACACAGGTGAGATGACATAAAATAAACGGATGAAAGAAGGTCCAGGCACTCCTTGGTTCAAGACAGGCACTTTGTTGGAACCACAGCAACGTTTCGACCAAAAGGTCTTTGTCAAGCTTGACAAAGACCTTTTGGTCGAAACGTTGCTGTGGTTCCAATAAAAGACCTTTTGGTCGACAAAGACCTTTTGGTCGAAACGTTGCTGTGGTTCCAATAAAGTGCCTGTCTTGAACCAAGGAGTAGCTGGACCTTCTTTCATTCTATTCTACAAAATTGGGAATCTAGTGTTTGGTTCCCGTACAGCTAGCCCCCTGGCTCAGAGTGATGGGAGTGAGTGCAGTTCCACACACATAACATAAAATAAACTGAGACATATAAAGTTGAAAACAGAGACTGAAACAATTTTAAGGGGGGAAAGCATAAGTGACAGAGATAAGGTGGACAAGACAGTCCATCACCTGCACTGGGGGAAATTAGAAAAAGAGAGTGGGAAATCGATGTTATCCTAGAGCATGGAATGATTTGATTCCAACTTATAACTATGGACGCATGTCTCTTTTCAGCCTATGTTACTATGTAACTATTAAAGCTCATCCTTCTACCACAAATGAGGGCATATTGAGAATACTGGCTCATTATTTGGAGGTGCCATGTTCCAGTTACAGACTAATGTGGGTAAGAGGAGAGTGACTGTAAAAAGGTAGAGTAAATAGTTCCTTCACAATTTAGCAAATGACCCTAAATAATCTTCGGTTTTGCAATTTTTGTTCCATTAAAATTGTAATTTTGGTCTACACCCACTTGCTTAAATGTTCTTGGAGAAATTTAACAAAATAATAAAAAATATTGTTCGTTAGTTGTGAGACTTCTGTTTTTTTTCCAGCCAAGTAAAAGGTCTTTAGATGTCAACTATGCTTTTTATCATAAATAATAGGGCTGGTAAATCACAAGATAGTTCTTGGCAGTAAATTTGTCTACAAAACTTCATTCATCTCCTCAAGTCAATTATTGTTGCTGTTGAAAAGCAGAATAATGATATACAGAGGATATAAATTATTGTTGCATAAATACAAGATTGGCCTACCTACCCTTTCATCAACAGTTAACCAACATTGTGTCTAATACAGTTACTGTAAGCTCTCCTTCTTTAATCCAAATTAAATATGCTACTGTATATCTCTTTTAATATCAAATGAAATGCATTTAATAGTTTAACTGTGTATCGCTCTCGTCACATAAGTGGAAATCTTTTCCAGTGGTAGAAGCTTTGTAAATATTAGGTTCGAATGAGATGAAACAGGTCAGCATGATCTGTTCTTTTTTAGCTACATCCATCTATAGATCAAGAGCAGCTGTACTCACAACATCAATTAGAGGTAAGTAATAGCAGTCATGCTGTAACCTGGTTTAATCCACCTCTGTCACACTGGCAGGTCAAATCCACAGAGTAAATACAAAGACAATGGAAACCGCACATGATATTTGGTGTTGCTCTGCATACAAATCAAATATACATACATAAGCAATTTAGGACATCATTGAGGCCATATCATATGTGTGTGTGTGCGTGTGTGTGTATGTGTCAAAATTAATGAATCAGGTCCATATAAGAAGAATTGTTAGGGTTCTTTTCACTAACCAGGGAAATAAAGCAGATTGGAACTGAATTTTCAAAACATAGGTCAATATTACCAAGAGTATAGGTATACAACAGAATTCAAACTGGGTTGTTTTGGATTTGAATAGACAGTGTGATGTTTAATTAATAACCCTAAACACTAAACTGAATTGTTGGTACAAGGGAATTTAAATTCGATTTCACTGATCAGTTCCCATTAATGTAATGTTAAGTGAACAGACCTCTGAATCTGTACATCCACTTCCATGTGGCACTCATTTTGGGCATTTGCCCAGGCCAATGCTGTGATGTTGTGCCTGTGGACATCTTAAGATTTTTTAGAGGCACCCGTTTCTGCCACTAGCCATGCTTTCAATTAAACATACAATAATAATTCATTCACTGCTATATACCTTGTGCATATATTATAGTAATGCCACATTTTGATTAATTTTATTCACAGTGCAAGGGTCTAATGAAGGCAATTGCAGAATTTGTTTTGTCATATATCACAGCTGAACAACAGGTCGCTAAATCAATTTTACAATGGAAAAATGGGTCGACAAGCAAAACCAGTGACCGCAATTTGGGTCCCTGTAAAAAAAAAAAAAAAGGTTATGAAGTATCAATATTTATATAAAATGCTCAGTGTTTTAATAAGAACTATTTTCTTCTGAAGATTTTGTGTGGTGAATGATAAAGGTGTACTGGTTTTATTATTTGTCTTCACATAACTCTATCCAACCTAAATAAACACAAAAACACACAACCACAAACTAGACTAACCCCTCAAACTACTATTACCACAAAAAAAAGAGTGCCTCAATAAATGAATGTTATCTTCATACATCACCCAGTGGACTTGTTTGATGTATTGTGATTATAAAATATTAACATGACAATGTTTGATAGAAGGGAGCTGGGTAACAACATACACAGGATTCAATAAGTTAAGATGTATTGTATATGTTAATATGTATTGTGCAAGTTTGCAATCGACCATAACTTAAATCTCACTATGTTTTCATTTCTGGGCCTATTTCAGTGTATATTGAATGCCACGGTCAGTGAAAACTTAAATGACCCCTTTCCCTGGTCTCTTTGCGTTTAATATAACCAGGGACCCGTGACAGCTTTGCACAGAAGCCATCATATGCGAAAACAATAAAAAAAAAGCGAGGAATATGAAGCCAAAGTGCCGAGGGAAAAGGGAGGTAACGAGAGGAGGAGGGACTTGCTTGTCTGTCCCCCCCCTCCTACAAAAAGCCGAGTTGGATAGGTAACGCAGTGACTGCCCCCCTGCAGTAATTTCCCAGTGTCAGGGATCTTGTAACTAGGCAACAGCGCCAGGGCAGCCAGAGATGCTGCGCAGGAGAGATACAGAGCGTTCCATGGCGTTCTAAGCCCATTCTACACTGCAAGTGCACGGCTGCCCGGCTGCCCGGCTGCCCAGCTCCCCAGGGCACAGGGAGCTTGTCTATCATATCACTGCACAGAACCAGGAGGAGGTGGGAATTAAATAAAAAAGAAAAAAAAAAATTCACTTCCCAGTATAATGAAGCATGGAGGAGGTATAGAGTCTCCTGGAGTACCGTGGCAGGACAATGGGAGCAGGGCTTGCTGTCTGTGTGACCCTATTGCTGGTGGATATTCAGTGTATGGCAGATGGATTAAGGAAAGCTCCGCTGATCAGATCGCTGGAGATCTGAGGGGGACCCCCGAGCTGACATGTCCTCTTGTCCAGCAAAGTTGCTCCCGATTTGCTCGCGTTGGCCAGCAGCTTTGACTTCCTCCACTCATTCCCGGTGAGTCAATGGTAGGTGGACGTGAGAGATCAATGCACTAAGAAAGGGGGTGAGTTTTATGACCCCCCTCATTGGTGCATCATCCCTTCATCTCTGTCTCCGTTCATATGACCCTCTAGCGTTTGCAACACAAAATATTTATTTTGGCACTTCCATTTTGAGAAAGAAAGAAAAAAAAAATCAGATGCATTAGTTAAAGATGTGATGCTTGGTTCATTTCACTGATAGCTGTATTTTCAGCATCACCTTCGTCATAATCCTGCTGATTGGTTGTCAGGGATACTTATAGGTTTATACGATCTTTCTAAAAAGAAATTGCATTGATCACTCACAATACAATTCAGAATTCTAAAAAGTTACAATGTAAAACCTACCTGTTCTACAGTCAGATCTAGATCAATATAATTATTGAGTTCAGTTTTTATTTTGTTTTGTAATTATTTTGAATAACAGCAAGTAGTTTTTTTTTTAAAGTTATTAAGATTAATAATGATTTTAAATCCATGTATACTGATTCCCCGTATTAAATTACTGAAAATAGCAAGAAATGTAATCTGTATTTTAAGCTTCTGTGCAATATGGTGTCAGAACAGTCATACTTTTATGAAGCCACGAAGTGGAAATATTCACAAAACAAATGTAAAAATGATACCAACAATAATTCCCTGCAGGTGTTAAAATAGCCCATGGTAAGTGCTGCTATTGCCTTTAGTTAGGGATTTCTTTCTTTGACTTGTTAAATGAGTCATTACACAGTGTACACAGTCACGTTTTATGACATTTACGTTTACTTACACACAATGAATAAAATAACTCTTTAAAAAAACAACATACTTTTTGTTCAATTCTTCTCATTAACCCTTTGAGATCTAGAGGATTGAGCATAGCTCCACTTTGCCTTTATCCTTATTATGACCTCAAAGGATAAATGATTTCTTAGAGTATATCAGCCATTGCATAGTGTATATACTCAGCCTGTGTGAGATGGACCATTATACCTCTACAGCTAAAATCACAGTGCTAACAGTGAACCAGAGAGCAGTGGTTATTTATAAAAGATCAGCAATTGTTGATTTAAACAGTGACAGGTTTATTCTGGATGTATGCTTGTATTTCAGTTTTATTTGACAATGGTAGTGCATTTTTTACTTTACTGCTGCAGCACAGAGTCTCTAAAAGTATTCTGCTTTGAAATATGACTGCGATTGTTAATGTCACATCTTTCCAATGACATCACAGAGAGCAAACACACATATTTGCCTATAGACGTATATGAAGACTTTTTTTTTATTTAGTCCACAAGTCACTGTAACCTGTAACTGTTTGAATTGTGTATCTTAATTCACTTATTTTGAGATTAACATCAGGCGATTGCATTTATTCATATACCAAACCTGGCATTGTGTGATTTCACACGATCTGCGAATATTACAATCATTATTCTCTATTTTTTCCTTTCTAGTCTCACAGCTGCATCACTTCCACCCAGCTAGATTACATTTCATATATTGTCAAAGTAGACAGTTGTTCGCAGAAACTATCATTATGCAGTTTCAACATATTTAATCACTTTAACACTTTTTCAATATATTAAACATCAGTAGGTGCAGGTTTAAAACTGAGCCCTCTATAGAATGTGTAGAATCTTTTACAATGACTGTGTATCAGTGCGCTTTAAGATTTAGCAGAGAATATTTGATAATAACTATGCAGGTTAAGGTGTCATTTCTTTTGCATAATTTAATATTGCATATATTGTAATGAATTTATATTACGCTGGGGAAACTGCAAGCGTCATATCTGAAAATGCAAGTCCTGAAATTTTGAGGTTACATAAACTGGTGACTAAGCCAAAACTTAAAAATGGAGCTGAGTGGCAAATCGACTGCTGGCCTTTACTGAAGAAAAGGTCACATGTAGAGAGGACGTGTGAACTGAGCAACCTGGTTTAATATAATTTTTAAGCTAAAATATCAGCCATACTTCTACACCTGCTCAGTAATTTGCCAATGGCTTTTCTATCACTAGGACATCTGTCATCTTGGAACAGCATTTCTAAGTCGGAGACACTTGAAAAAGACTTGTTTATCAAAGTAACCAAAATATCATAATTTTTTCCAATGAGCACATGGTGGCTACCATTTTATGCTAAATGCCATTGGCACCTGAAAATTCATAAATGTGAAGCAACATGGTGCACACATACTACAAGACAAATACACCAAATTATAAACACATACTATCCTGTAACCTGATTGGTGTACAACATTTCATTTTTTTTTTAGTTGGTAGTCATCAAAATTATACTCATCGTTTGAATACTGTTTCCTTAGTTTTGCAGAAATGAATTGTGTCTACCTACTTAGACTCGTGATCCTGATTGAAAAATACTTGGGGGAAATGGGTGCCATCTGTTCTCTATTTCAGCTGTGAATGGACCATGTATATTGGTGCTATGCCCAGAAAGAGATCTGTAGAGCAGTTCATTAAGCATCGATTTGGAAATAAAAACACTGTAAACTCTTCCTATTCCTAGTAATTATGCAGCACTCATTTGCCTTCCAAAAGGAAGCAGACTTCCAAGATATTTTTTGAAAATTATTAATTAAATATAAAGAACAGATTAGCTTTTAATGCATAATGCTATGTTTTCTGTATGGTAAGAATTAGTATATTGAATAACAAGTTACATATTACTTCCAATATGCTTATGTACATTACCTTTATATAGATATATATCTCTTGACCGATTGACTGACTGATTGATTAATTGATTTGTGTCACAGTCCCAGGCATAAATTATGTCCACCTTGTATTACTGATGTGCTGGAAGAGGGGCTGGCAGGAAAGAGAGTGAGAGATACTATATGCATGTGTTACTCTCTGCCCTGTAGCTCTGCAAACATGCCAGTAAAGGGAGAGGGACTGCATTTCGTGATGGCAGTTGATGCCTGGGTGTGTGACTCCAATAATTCCCAGGCAGGAGATATGTCCTTGTATGTCGTGGTGTGACCCCAGGAGATACCCAGATGTGCATGTGTTTGAGTGTATGTCTGTTTGTTGCGTTCGACAGCAATTGAAATGGTGTTCAAGTTGTTGTAAAGCAAAAATCTATAAAAATATATATATATATTTTAAAAAAAATGATATTCACGTAACTTAAAAGTTACATAATTTTGAAGTATACAGTGCCAAAACAATGCTCTAGAGTCATCAATAAACCACTCTGCCCTCTGTTTCCTGGTTTGTGATATCTCCAGGAATCCTCAATGACAATTTCCCACAATGCTCTGTTCACATATATACAATGTATTTTGTAAGGGATTTGTTTTGCCTCCCTTTCTATATATACATAATACCATACCATAATACTCCCACATATATGCAGTACACACAAATATATTTTTGCACTGTATAAATCATAATAATAATGCTAACTATATATATATATATATATATATATATATATATATATATATATATATATATATATATATATATATATATACATATATATATATATATATATATAGTTAGCATTATTATTGAATTTATACAGTATTATTATTAGGATTTATACAGTGCAAAAATGTTCTGCAGCAGTTGACAATTATAGAATGGGGATATTTGACAACAAGTAATTGACATATAGAATGTAACAGAGACAAGAGGTGAAGAAGGCCCTGCTCAAACGAGCTTACAATCTATTGGGAAGGAGTAAAGACACACAATAGAAATTACAGCATGTGAGAGGGGAGGGGGTGTAGGAATCGATGGATAAGATTCTTGTGTCAAAAAAGGCTGGTAAAAACGGTGTGTGGAGGGAGAGAAAGTGAGCTACGCTATGGATGCGAAGGAACTGATGAGGGCAGTGAAATATATATGTATACACAAACACACAAAACTATTTCATATTATCAATATATTTCACCAACCAACAAAATTATGTACCATCTTTTGTTTCTGGTTAACCACACAACACTTAGGTGCCAGTGTTTTTCCCCTGTTAGTTTGTTGCTAATCTTTGCTTACGTGTTGACATTGATTTTTGGAAGTACCATGTATGCTAAAAGCTAATGTGGGTTACCTCTGTTTATTGATTAGGAATCTGATAGACTGGACACAGAATTGGAAGGAAACAATCAACAATAAAGTGGCTTGCTAGACTGCACACTTTTGGAATATATTTAAGATCAGATAATTGAAATGTATTGTGAGATACTGTGATGTGTTTTTATTGATTTTTCGCTTTCCCATTTCCTTCTCTTGGAGGGATTTTTGCAGGCACTATAGAGAGCAGACAGTTGTCTGTAGCTTTACAACAATGCATTTAACCCAATAAATGTTGCAGTTTTACCATCAGAATTGCATTTAATGTAACAATACCTAAGAACATGTGAACACAGAATGTTTTATTACTTGTAGCAATAATAAAACATTCCAGGTAGCAGAAAATTATTTAAACACAGAACATTTTTTCTTTTTAAATATTAGAACATTTCATTTTCTAAACTCTCCAATAATATAAATTATATTCGTTTTTAATTAGACATCACTCCCTTTCTCATTTAACCTTTTATTGTGCGAGAGTGATACTAGCAACAATGATATTCAGTAAAATGAGAATTGTGGGAATTTTAAAGTGAACTCAAAGTGAATATCAAATGCAAAGCTAAATAGCCAAAAACTAGAAAATGGAATTGACTTTGAGAATTATTTCAATCTTGCTATTTTGGCCCAAATTTTCATATTCACTCTGAATTCTTACTTTAGTGAATAAGGCTTAAATCAACCACAATGCATGTTTTTGTGTTAACTGGATTCTCCGAATTTTTGCAGGTTCAATCTATCACATACTTTTTTTGCAGTTTAGAATCGAGTAGCTATGTTATGGTTATATTCAACAGAATCATATGCATATACACTTATACCAAAAAAAAATTTGGCATATTGAGATAATGCGACAACAAGGAACCGATATGCAAATTAAGTAACTACAAACAACACAACAAAAGAGTAATGTGTGATTACTTTTATAATTCTGGTAGTTGAAATGGTGTAATTTCAAAGTCTTATTTGGCTATAAAACCTTCATGAAAAAACAACCATTCTGTAGTGCTGCTCAGTGGTGACTTAGATATAAAAGATAAAGAATATAAAAAAACAAAATGAACTAGTAGGGGAGATTTATCAAAGTGTTCTGAAAAATGCCTGTGTGAGGTTTCAAAAAAATCAGCTTCAATCTATTAAGCTATATAAAAAATAACCTCAAAAGTATCACCTTTCCACATTATATATTCAGACTGATTTTTGCTCCTCCACAACTACATCCCACTAAGTATTTTGCGTTACTTTCACTGTCCACAATATAAGAGGTGTAACAATGTCAGAAGACAGTACTTTAATGGTGCAAAAAACAAATAAAAATGCACTACTATTATAATATCGAATATAATATAGATAATATAAACGAAATACGCTACGCAAAAGTAAAACAAGAAAGAATGACAAAAAAGTTGTAAAAGTAATAAATAGTGAAGAAGTCCATTAACAATGATAAAAAAAAGTAGATAGGGTGCAGGTTGTCCAGTGACTTTTTGATAAATCTCCCTCAGCATAGCCACACACTGTCATTTCCTTTCTTTTTCACAACACCAAAACCTAATAAATTTGCTTTATTAAGTATAGGATATTCATGGATGATCCCAATATACTGAATTAAATCTTTGGGCTTCCATAAAAGAAAACAAGCCTTTGGTATGTTACATCACATTTTGAATCTGTGTACATTTCTTTCCCTATCCCTGCACTGTCTGTTCATCCATTTTTCCCTCCACCCATCTGCCCATCCATTCATCTTCATGGCACATAAACAAAGCACATTCTGCTTTTTACATACTTGGAACCTGTTAGGAAAAATGTTACAATAATTAGCTGATGAGCAAGTAGAAGCATCCAGGAGAGCTAAGCATAACCTGGGAGCATGGGCGTCCGCATTAATTTTTCCAGGGGGGAGGCATAATTGTAATGACATCCATTATAAAGCAATCACCTTTCTGCTCCTTGCAGACCCTTTCTGCTCCTTCTCCTACTTTACCTTTGTGCTCCATCTGATTCTTTCTGCTCCTTTAACTTTATGCTCCTTCTGTCCCTTTCTGGTCTTTGCAGACACTTCCTTCTCCTTGCAGACTCTTCCTGCTCCTTGCTGCCCCTTGCAGACCCTTCCTGCTAATTTCTGCTCCTTCTCCTACTTTACATTTGTGCTCCTTCTGCCCCTTCCAGCTATTTGCTGACCCTTTCAGTCAGGAGAGAGAAGCAGAGATAAGATGTAGCTTCCTATCCCTGTCTCTCGTCATACACAGCGCCACCTACTGGCCGGCACCGGTTTTGCACTGTATTTTCAATCTCACACGAAAAATAGCAGAACAAGCTGAAAAATCCAGGGGAGGGGAGGGAAGTGCCTCCCCTTGCACCTCCCCTGTGGACGTCCATGCTTGACATCAAAATGAGGGATGCTGTTCAGTTTTTCTATGGACAGGAAGTTCTATGATTGTCAGATCTTTCTGTTTTTTAGACATAAAACTATATTGTAGCTGTAGCAGATGCATTTTGATTGCATGTTACTGCTGACGTGTTTCAGCAAACAACTAAGAGTCACACTGGCTTTTGCAAATGCTGTGTTACATTAATGAATTATAAATGCACAATTTCAGATAACAGAGTTAAAAGCTATTGGATTAGTCATAATATTGCATGCCTGTATAACAAAGCAGTTGAAAATGTTGAATAGAGAGGATAAGACAGGTTGTGAAATCATCTAATAAGAGTATCTATTTAGTAACATCGCTTCCATTGGGAGCATCAGGGTACATACTTTAGATAGTTGTAATTGTATGTGGGCTAATTATGCTGTTAGATAGTTACATTATAATATGTCTGGTCTGTGCCCTTGATCATTGCTGACGAGAGCACTTGCGGATCTTCAAAAATATCAAATTATTATATATTATATATATAAATATATAATTATATTTTTATATTATTTATTCATCATATCATCAATGTAATGTTACCAGTGGAGTATTTTGGTTTTGTGCTGCACTAGGCATGACTAAACTTGGGCACCTTACTAATTTAAATTTACCCTACCCCTTCCTCTCAAGCCCACACCTCTTCCTGTTTAAGACCAGCACACACTTTGACAGACACATGTCCTCACTGATACATGCACTGACATACACTCACCGACACATACACTGTTTAACCAACACACACTTTCACTGACAGACACAGACTGATAGGCACACATTCTCAGATACACATACACTGACAAACACTCACTGACAGACACACACTGACATCCTCACTGATTTGGCACACTCTGAAAGACATACACACATACACTCACAGACACACATTCAATGACAGACACAAACTGACAGACAGACATACACATTTACTAACAGACACACACTGATAGACACATACACATTCACTGACAGACACTCACACATTCACTAACAGAAACATTCACCGACAGACACACATTCACTCACAGATACACACTCTCACTCACAGACACACACACATTCACTGAAAGACACACATGCTCACTCACAGACAAACTCACACATACACTGAGAGACACACACTCACAGGCACACATACATTCACTGACAGATAAACACTGTCACTGACAGACACACACATTCTCTGACTGACAGACAGATGCACTCACTGACAGACACACACATTCACTGACACACACACATTTTTTCATACACTCAAAAATGATTTTTTTTTTAAATTTAAGTCAAACCAGCCTCCCTACTATCGGGGCAGCTGGAGTGGGTTCTTTCCCCGGGGTCCAGTGTGGCTGCTGGGCTACTTGGCAGGCTGAAGGATTGGTTGCTGGGCTGGCTGCTGAATGCTGGGCAAGTGCACAATTGAGGTGGTGAGGGAGCTGTAATCTTCTTGCTCTGCTCCCTCAGAGTTCCTTCTGATGATCCAAACAAACATAAAAATCCCAAGTGAAGGGATTTTCATTAAAAAAGGGAAAATAGGGGGCGTGGACGACCATGAAACCAACAGGACGCATCTCGGTGGAGCTCCACAAAGGCCCCACCACAATAGGCAAAAACGAGCTGAAAAAATAAACCTAAAGGCATCTACTCACAAACCCCCACACAGAGAAAGTCATGGTGAGAAAAAATAAGAAAAAACAGAAGTCGAAGGCGTCTAAGCTGCCCAATATCAGGCTATCCTTTGAGAGACCTGCGCCGCCGTCTCAACCCAAGATGGCGCCCGAGCCTCAATACAGCCCAGAGATCTCGGAAGACTCCGAGGCAGAGAGGGAATCCCCTGCCTTGCTGGACCCAGGCGGAGCGACGTCAGCCTCAGAATCAGAAGATGACTCTTCTCCCTCCACAAAAGGAGATATAAAAAAACTACTCACGGCCATGCAGCGGATCTGGAAAGCTGACATACAGCAGACCCAGACTGAAGTTGGCGACATCCACAGGAGGGTACAGGAGGTAGAGGAGAGGGAGGCTTGCAACACAGCCAGACCAAAAAAATGGCTGGAAGGACTCACAAATCAGGTCCAACAGCTGTAGAAAACGGTGCTCAGCTTGGAATTCAGACACCGTCTGTGAAATATCCGTCTGAGAGGTGTGCCAGAGGAGGTAGGAGACGAGGCCCTGCTCCCAACTGTGAAAAGGCTGCTAGTCTCCATGGGCATTACAGACAACCCAGAAACCCCCCACATAAAGACAACTTTCCAAATATGGAAATCAGCGACAGCCCCAGAAACAGCACCCAGGGATGTCATCGCAGTGACCAGAGACATAACCACACGCAGCGTGATAATGAAACGCTGCAGAGAGATGGGCAAGTGCGGTTTGAGGGGCACTCAGTTGTGATCTATAGCGATCTAAACTTCCAAGTCCTTGTGGAAAAGAGAAAACTGTCACAAGTAGCCAAACGGCTATGAGACAACGCTATCAAATACCGCTGGGACACAGGGGGCTCATTGGTGGTACCCCGGGGGAAGGACACTCTAACCCTCTCCTCGACTGAAGACCCACGGACACTACTCCAAACCCTTGGGCTGTTGGCTGAGCACCAGGAAGCAACAGAACTCACAGAGGTAAAGCCAACAGCACACAAGAGCCCAGGGGGGCACCCGAAATTTGACAAGGGATGGATCCACAGGATAACTAACGAACCGTGAACCCGCAAGAGATTGTGACCCTTCGACCAATGCCCTCCTGGCGCCTACACGAACTCTGGCCATATGACCTACAGTCTTTACTAAGTGGCTACTAAAAAAGACTGGACATACCATTTGCAAAAGAAGACAACCCAAGGTATTGCAAATGGGGTATGTCCAGTCTTTTTTAGTAGCCACTTAGTCACAAACACATTTAGCATTTTATGCATTTTTAACACTCAAACAAATATGAATGCTAACTTTGGCCAGTGTTTGTGACTAAGTGGCTACTAAAAAAGACAAATTTGAATCTATTTAGCAGTTTTTTTCACTAGCTTTTGTAGATGAGTAAAAGAGTTTTCAGGTAAAAGTAAAAAAACTTATTTTTTTCAATTTTTCATCATATTTTTTATTTATTTTTAAATTAAATTACATGAGATTATATAAAAAATGGTATGTTAAAAAAGCCCCTTTCGTCCTGAACAAAACAATGTATAATTTGTATGGGAACAGTAAACGAGAGAGCGGAAAATTACAGCTAAACACAAACACCACAAAAGTGTAAAAAGAGGCCTGGTCACAAATGTACAACATCGCAAAAACAGTGCGGTCCTTAAGGGGTTAATTAAAAATTTTTTAAATATGGTGAAATATTGAAAAGAAAACAAGTTCTTTTACTTTTACTTGAAAAATCTTTTACTCATCTACAAAAGCTAATGAAAAGTTATAGGGCTCTAAGTACAAGTAGGATATTGCGGATTCAAAATATAAATTTTTAACATTTATCAATAGTGACATTGTAACACTGTTATCTGTCATAAATCTCTGAAAAACACCCCACATGTAGATATTTTTTTAATCTTAATTTTTTAATTTAATTTTTTTTTTATCTAAGGATATTTTGATACTTTCTATGCAGCCATTTTACCACCAATCTTTGCCAAACTTCGCATAGGTAGTTTATTTTTTCTCTTTTTTTTCACATACATTGCAATTCAGGTATAAATTCACAGATCCTGTTATGTGTTGCTGCCAAAAAACACACTAATATGTGTTCAGCAACATCTCCTGAGTACAGTGATACCACCCATGCATAGGCTTGTTGGGTTGTTAGGGGGCTAAAAGGCCATATTTGGCAGGAGCGCATATCCGTTTTCCAACTTGGAATTTTGACATGTAGTCAACCTACGCCCATGTCCTATTTGGGCCAATGTATTTTACCCCCATCAAACCATATATTTTTGAAAATTAGACAACCCGGGGTATAACTATAATACTACTGAATATTATTTTTATGCAAATATATATATATATATATATATGTATATATAAATAGCGAGGGCTTGCACTCCTGGTGTAATCCTGTGGTGCCCGGTGCTGGTCTGGCAAGGATCATGTAGACATAGCAGAAATGACCGCACTCCAAGGACTTTATAGAGATTTTCAAATAAAATTTAGCTTTTAGTCAATCCATTTAAAAAGTCAACGTTTCAGCTCCCACATGGAGCTTTCATCAGGACAAAAATCAGGACTGTTTTGTCCTGATGAAAGCTCCATGTGGGAGCTGAAACGTTGACTTTTTAAATGGATTGAATAAAAGCTAAATTGTATTTGAAAATCTCTATAAAGTCCTTGGAGTGCGGTCATTTCTGCTCTGTCTATATGTATATATATATATATATATATATATATAATAAGAAGTTATATAAGGAATCTGATGAAGCAACCTCTTTAGGCAAAGAATTACACAACTTTATTGTTTTTATTGTAAAGAGCTCTTTCCTCTGCCGTAGGCTAAATCTTCTTTCTTAAAATCTCAATAGATTAAAATTGTAACGTGCAGTAGAATGCTTGAAATGATATACTTGTGGGGCAAATGCACCTTTCCTGCTGGTTTAAATACTTTGTTGTTATTATTATTATTATTATTATTTTACAATCTTTACATGACTCCTCTTGGGCTTATTTTATTTGAAGGTTTTTTTTTTATTGTTTTGTTTTCTGCCACCATATTAGTACCACCATATTAAATTATTTTATGCAATATATTGTGAAAAATATGAAATAAATTAAGAGTACCCCAAAAATAAATTATAGAATCAAATACATATATGGAAAAAAAAAATTAAATTTTTTTTTTACATTCTTTAATTTTGCAGTGCAAGAATTTACCGACATGTTTGTGATGCCACGACAGCATTGACAAGCTTTCAATAGCGTACACATTGATACATAGGCATGGCATGTAAGAGAATTGCACTATTTTAAAATATATTGAAAACAAGTGTGTCAAAAAAGATAGAAAAGGATATAAATGGAGCTCGAGTCCTGCAGGAAAGTGTGGTATTGGCGTTTCTGAACTTTTTACACAACAGGAACACCGTTCCCGTTAGTAGTCCTGCAGGACAGTGGCGTACCAAGGAGGGGCGGGGGGGGGGGTGGCACCCCAGGTGCATTTTGCCACCCCTGTGTCTTATTTAAAGGGATCAGGCCACTTACAGGAGTCTCCATGCTTGTTTCACATCCAGTAGCAGCAGATCTTCTGTTCTCACGATCCGCGAGAGCCATAGCAAACCACGGCAACGCTCTTGCGGATCACGAGAACAGAGGACCTGCTACTGCTAGAAGTGGACTAAAGGTGGAGTGTCCTTGACTCCTCTTCTCTAGACAACTATGCTGCGCCACCAGACCACCAGGGAATTCAGTGTGCCCCCCCTCCCTGGACACTGGTAAGAGTCAGGGAGGGGGTGAACCCAGGTAAGAGTCAGGAAGGAGGAGGGAACCCAGGTAAGAGTCAGGAAGGGGGGGGACCCAGGTAAGAGTCAGGAAGAGAGGGGGGAACCCAGGTAAGAGTCATGGAGGGGAGGACCCTGGTAAGGTAATACACACACACTGCATCCACTACACACACACGCACACACTGCATCCACTATACAAGCACACATTCTGCATCCACTACACAAGCACACTGCATTCACTATAAAAACACACACTGCATACATTATACAAACACACAGACACACATTTATACATGTGTGTCTGTGTATCTGTATGTCTGTGTATCTGTATGTGTGTTAGTATATGTGTTTGTATATGTGTATCTGTATGTGTCAGTGTGTGTACGTGTATCTGTATGTGTTTATGTGTATCTGTTTGTGTGTCGTTGTTTGTATCAATGTATCTGTGTATCTGTATGTGTGTGTCTGTATCTGTATGTGTGTCTGTGCCTGTGTGTCTCTCTCTCTGTGTGTTTGTATCTATATGTGTTTGTATCTGTGTGTCTATCTGTATGTGTGTTAGTGTTTGTCTGTATCTGTGTATGACGGTGTTTCTATGTAACTGCATGTGTGTGCCTATATGTCTGTGTATCTGTATGTGTGCTAGTCTGTGCATATGTGAGTGTATGTGTATGTGCATACATCTCAGCATTTCGCCTACACTACACACAAATACAACCCTGCATCCAAACGTCAACACTACCACCATATTCAAAAACCACACTACAGAAAAATGCACGCCTGCATTCAAATGCTAATACGCCTGCATTCAAATGCAAACACACCCATACATTCACTCACACATACTCCATAAAAAAACATGCTTAAATGTGTATGACTTTTTTATTTTTTGGGGGGTGGGGGTTTCCCACACTTTCTTCCTCAGGACTTGACCCCTGGATATAAATGATAATTCTACTGAGCATTCTGATTGCACAAGAGGAAAACATGAGGAGAAAGCCACCAAGTAGATTAATCACTAAGCTCAAGACAATAGTCAGGGCCAGTGCAAGGATTTCTGACAACACAGGTGAAGATGCGTTTTGCCGCCCCTCCTCCCCACAAAAAATGCATCTTCACCTGTGTGTCATGTAACCCCCCCTTTTAAATTTCTTACCCCCTTCAGTGTTTTTATCCTATCATTCGAATATCTTACTTCCTTTTTCTCCTTTGTGTGTCTTACACCCGCTTTGCTGTGTTTTATCTCCTTGTGTTTCTCTTACAACCCATTTGTGTATTTTTTACTTACTCCAGCCCCTTTGTCTGTCTCTTTCTTCTCCCCAGCTCCTTTGTGTGGCTCTTTCTCCCCCAAAGTCCCTTTGTACGTCTCTTTCTCCCCACAACCCTTCTGTCTGTCTATGTGTCCTCCCTCAGCCCCTCTGTGTGTCTCTTTGCCCCCCCCCATGTGCATACAGCCTCTATGAGTTTCTCTTTTTGCCCCCCAGCATTCCTGTCCCTTTCAATGTCCCCCTCCCCCTATACCTTTCATTGTCCCACCTCCCCTCCTGTGCCTTTAAATGTCCCCCACCTTTTATTGCCTCCCCTGAACCTATTATCCCCCTCCCCTCCTGTACCTTTTATAGCCCCCCCTCCTGTAACTCTTCTTGTTCCCCCCTTCCTGTAACTCTTCTTGTCCCCCCCCCGTAACTCTTCTTGTCCCCCCTCCTGTAACTCTTCTTGTCCTCCCTCCTGTAACTTTTATTGTTCCCCTCTCCTGTAACTCTTCTTGTCCTCCCTCCTGTAACTTTTATTGTCCCCCCCAACTCTTTTTGTCCCCCACCTCCTGTAACTGTAACTTTTATTGTCCCCCCTCCTGTAACTCTTCTTGTCCTCCCTCCTGTAACTTTTATTGTCCCCCTCTCCTGTAACTCTTCTTGTCCTCCCTCCTGTAACTTTTATTGTCCCCTCTCCTGTAACTCTTCTTGTCCTCCCTCCTGTAACTTTATTGTCCCCCCCCTAACTCTTCTTGTCCCCCACCTCCCCCACCTCCTGTAACTGTAACTTTTATTGTCCCCCACTCCCCTCTTACTTTCCATTGTGCCTCCTTCTGCTCTCTCCATGCAGCGTGGTTGAGCGGGCGGTACGCGGTAGAGGATCCTGTTTCCTGTCCCAGTCTGAGAGGAAGCAGTGTGTTGCATCTCCTGTCAGACCGGGTAAACCGCGGCCCGCCCGCTCGGCAACTCTACACGCAATGACCGGAAGGAGGGGAGCACTATGCAGTGTGCTCTCCTCCTGCCAGTCACCCGAGGATTGCGCCCCCCAGGCCAGTGCGCCCTAAGGCGGCCGCTTGTGCCGCCTTATGGTAGCACCGGCCCTGACAATAGTGCTTTAAGTGCGGATGGATAGGATAGGCAAACTGTAATTATGCTGCAAATAGTAGCTTGAGAAAAGAATAAACAGCGGTAACTTAGCAAGTGTATATGCTCGGGTCAGCTGAACACAATCCACTTAGCCCATACCTGTGTCTGCCAAGCTGCATCCAGGCAGGTGCGTTAAAGAATTCGGGCTTACTGAGGCATCACATTGTGCGGCATCACTGCAGCCACAGGACCCCTTTGTTATCTCTAGACGGTAGCCTCCATGTCCCAGGTGGCGGTGCTGCACTCCGGTACGTGGGTTGCGGATGTTTATACAAAATTTGGTTCCCCTCTGAGGAGAAGGACACTGAACCAATGCAGTTGCTGGGGGCTGTGCTGAAAACGTGGTCAGTGTAGCTTGCTTTCTCCGGTCTTCCCAGCCCTTCCAGAACCGCTGGCACATGGCTTCAAACAATGCAGAAAATTCTGTTTCCCATATAGTCTGGGTGACTATAGTGTCCCTTTAACTATATATTTATGAAACATTCACTTGATGTGTTGTATTACAATGTTTAAAATCAAAGAGTTAATTTGGTCAGCATCTTGGATTAGAAATTTCTGGATACAAATTTTTTTTTCATAATTTTAAGAAATGAACCAGCCTATAATGCCAGATAAGTTATGTGAAGACCCATTACCTTCTTATTAAGATATATATGCATTGAGCTACTCGTGTTCTGATTTACTATTTACATTGGATTGAAATGAGAATCTACTTTCTGAGCTTCTATGTGGATCAACCACTATATAAGTTCTTCAGTTGTTTTGTTTGACGTAGAGATTACATCTGGCTATTATTGTTCATTGAGTAAATGGAAGGCAGGCAGCATTTAAAGAACCCTGTAGTTCAAACTCCCTATTATGAACTAAAACTAATAACATCCCTACTAGCTAAATAAGAGATGATTTTTCACATCTTTTATATATCTTAATTTAATTTTAATCATGTTTAACCTAATTCCTTACAACCTAAATTTAAATATTCATAATTATTAATAATGGCCATCATTATAATTTAAGGGCACAAGTATAGTATCAGGTAATCCCCTAAAATATGTATTAAAACCCTTTCTGAGATCTTTTCCAGGGGGGCAAACAACAGAGAGTCTTAGAATATATTTCTGGTTAGTTTATCTAGAGACACCATGAGTTACAAATGTATATATTTGGATGCATGGGTCTTAAAGAGGAAGTCTTGCATGTGTAAAAATGAAACACGTTGGGCCAGCAGTATTTATACTTTATCATTTTATGGAGTAAATCTTTGTGTACCGTTTGGAGGTAACCATAGAGGAGAGAGCCTCCGGAACATTGAGGAGAAGCACCCTTTGAACATTTATCCAGCTTTTCTGTGAATTTATCCAGATATTTACTTCGTAACAATATCATACTGTCGTTGTTCTTTGCATATTTTTTTGTTTTAGGAATTTAGTTGTAACCCCAAATTTATTCTATATATGAAAATATTCAACATGTCTATAACTTTTGTTTTGCTGCAGGGACTCTGATTTTATTGCAGACCTATGTTAATTATGCCATTAATGAGTTTCCACCCATGTATATTCTGTTAACTCCCAGTACCAACTTCATGTGAAGGTCAAGTGGGTTTATTCAATGAAGTGGAATTTGTAAAGAATTAACAAGGGAAATTCAAATTATGTCCCAAAAATGGCTAAATTAGAAACATTGTGTAATCCAAACTTGACTATTTTGGTCTACAATTTGAAAAACGTTTGCTGAATCTCCACACATTTTACTTGGTGTCAGAAAATGCAGAACAAGTTAGTCCTATATCTTTTGTTAAAATAATAATATTAATAATAATTATAATAACATTAGAGTGTCTCTTTGCATGTTGATCCTTTAACATACATTTGTTCTGAGTTCCTTTCAATTATTTTAATCAGGCAACAACTGCCACGTACTTTTGTGGATTTTTTTATTTATAGAATGCTTCCTTACATTTTATTTGTTTGCCAATTCTTATATAATTCTCTTTTCCAAAGTGCTTAACAAAAAAAAAAAAAAAATAGCTTATGATCATAGGTAGGGTTACAAATAGCGGGAAATATATTTAGACAAACTGGTACAAAACTATATATGTAGCAAATTTATAAAATGTGCTCTCCAAGATTTCTCATGACATTAGAATCTAAAGGAATAATATGTACTGAACAAAAAAGCAACACATGAGAAAATACAATTGTTAACTAAGAATATGGGTTACATCATGAAGATCTATTTTGGATACGAGCAATTGAGAAGTTAAAGGGACACTACAGTCATCAAAACAATTTTAGCTTAATTAAACAGTTTTTGTGTATAAATCATGCCCCTGATGTCTCACTGCTCAATTTCTGCCATTTAGGAGTTAAATCACTTTTGTTTCTGTCCATGCAGCTATAGCCACATCTCCCCTGGTTGTGACTGATACAACCTGCATAAAAAAAAAAAAAATTCAATCAGATAACTTAAGAAGTTTTTATCTCCTCCTTTGTAAATTTAACTTTAATCACATACAATAGGCCCAGCAAGCTATTTTTATCAGGGCAGGAGATAAGACATTCTAAATTAAACAGACTATAAAATCAAGGAAGTTAAACATTAAATCTCACTTTACAAGAAGTGTTTGGGAATGTTGTATATGTCAATTACAGAGAGGTGTGGCTAGGGCTGCATAAACAAAGTGATTTAACTCCTAAATGGCAGGGAATTGAGCAGTTAGATTGCAGTGACATTAGCTGTACGTCAAAACTACTTAGATAAACTAAAGTTGTTTTGGTGACTATAGTGTCCATTTAATGAAGTGGTAAGCAGTTAATTACATTCTGTAATTTCACGCAAAAGGAGAAATATGGTTTATAAATTGAAGTGAAGTATGATTGTGCAAAAGGGAGAGAAATTCATGTCAATTATGTAATGTTTAGTGCTTGGCCTACAACAGATGCATGCACTCCCTATCCACTAAACAGCTACTTTGGTGCTGACGGATTTTGTAAGTTTTATTAAAAAGACCTAATCTAGGCAAAAAATAATGGGGGTTTAGTTACATTATTATTATTATTATATGATCATACATTGCATAAGCCTGCCACAACGTCAATGTACCCCATATTCGATTGATGATTTACCAACTGCTTACGCACAGCTCATGGTTAATATTTCGGCCTGTGCTTTCCTGTGCTTTTTCAGAGTACTGGTGAAGGAAGGACACTGGAACTGTACATCTGAAAAGTGCAAGACTAAAATTGACCTAATTACAGTGGGGACTGCGGTGGGATGTTTACCACCTAAAAGTATTATTTTTATTGACTAATATATAATCATAAAGAATATGCCATCATAAAATATTATATGTAATATATAGAACTACCTGTTTTAGTGTGCGCTGTACTGAAATGTATTTGCAACACAAAATTACTTTTTCTCCACAGTCCTGCAATGTGTCACTGCTTGCCTTTCTTCAATTTCTGATTGGATGTCCTCCCGCTTTCTGAAACTCAATCTCTCTAAAACTGAGCTTCTTATTTTTCCCCCTCATAATGCTGATCTTCCATCTTCGCTTTCCCTGCAAGTTGACGGTAGTTGCATCAGTCCATCCTTGCATGCCCGTTGTCTTGGTGTTATCTTTGATCCTGGCCTCACCTTTGCACCACATATCCAGTATGTTGCTAAAACCTGTCGATTCCACCTTAAATATATCGCCCACATCCGCCTCTTTCTCACGCAAGATGCTGCCAAGGAGGTTATTCGTGCTATAGTAATCTCTCGCATGGACTACTGTAATTCTCTTCTAGTTGGTCTTCCCAAATGCTGAACTGCCCCGCTACAGTCGGTAATGAATGCTGCCGCCAGGCTGATCTTTCTCACCCATCGCTCCTCCCATACCTCTCCCCTCTGTCGATCCTTACACTGGCTTCCTGTATCCTATAGGTGTCAATTCAAAATACTAACCTTTACCTATAAAGCTCTAGCCCCCAATACATTTCTTCACTGATTAATAGATATGCCCCTTCTCGGTCTCTCCGCTCTGCCGGTGACCTTCTCCTGTTTGCTGCTCGCACCCTTACTGCTAACTCGCGCTTGAAGGACTTCTCGTGGATGGCTCCCTTCTTTTGGAACAGCCTGTCTACCCCCATCAGACTCTCCCCTAGTCTTCAATTATTTAAGAAGTCCCTCAAAACACATCTGTTCAGAAATGCTTATGGACTCCCAGAGTAACTTATCTATACTTATCCAAATCTGTCTCTCGCTCTCCTAAAAGAGGCATACTCCACTCTCACTTCCAGCTCTGCTGCTTTTCAACCTTGTTTGGTGGCTGTCACCCTTGCTGCCCTGTTGTGTATTTGTACCCCACCTCCTGTAGACTGTAAGCTCGTTTGAGCAGGGCCCTCACCTACCTATTGTTCCTGTATCACTGTGTAATTGTCTAATTTTTTGTAAATATACCCCTTTCATAATATTGTAAAGCACTGCAGAATTACTTGGCGCTATATAAATACCATTATAATAATAATAAGGTAAATAAAAATAAGATAAAACATAAAACATATCAGAAGGAGAAAAGTCCTACCAAATTCTTGAAAATCCATAAGCATGGACATTTATTGTTTGTAAGCACTAAGGGTGAATAAAATATTTTTATTTTACCTATTTACTGCTTACTTAGGACTGAAAATAATAGAATGTCACAATATTATTTGTGGTGTTATGGATATATATATATATATATATATATATTATGTGATGGTTTAGCATCATTCATTGATCAATACACTTTCTAAACAAGCTTATTTAAAATATATATATTTTTTTTTTTTTGTCCAATACTTCTTATACAGGGGTGCCCAAAAGGTAGATCCACAGACACTTTAAAACTACAGCTAAATGCATGCAAAGTATCATGGGAGTTGTAGTTCTAATAAATTTTGTAAAATGTAACATTTGATGTTAGAAGCAGTCTAAACACCAAGCTTGGCAACGCTTATGATGCAGAGAGTACCCACTCAGTTATGAGAGTGTCTAATAACTGAAGATACAATCCCTCCCCTGTAATGACACAAAGGAAGCGTTATTGCTTACTATTTGCAGTGCCAATTTTGTCCAACTTGTGCGTGTGATTGGTGGAACCTATTCATAGTGAGGAAGGAGTCTGCTTAAAGCTGCAGGCATCTTCTTTTATTTTACATTTTAGTTTTTTTTTTTGCAATTTTGTTTTTTTAAATATGGTATTTCAGACCATGTTTACTAAGCTAATCATAATGAGCAAGATAAATAGCTTCAAATGGTCTACATTTCCCTCTTTTTATTGTGATTTAGCTAACAATGTCTAAATAAAGAGCCAGAAGTGACATTAATGCACTTCTAATATTTGTTCATCTTTTTTTCCTAGACCTTTTACGTGCGCTACAGGTTTTAACAGTAACTGCTGTTCATTACAAATAAATCTTACGGATTCATTTGTAAATGTACCAAAATTTATATAACTAAACAGTACTCAACCAAGGTACTTAAATAACAAAGTGTATTCAAGGGTAAATAAAATCAGGAATTATTATTTTCCTGAAAAGGACTGTCAGCAAGATTAGTTAATTAGACCTTATATCTAAGTCACTCCCATTCACTTGCTTGATTTCTTCTGTTAAACTTGTTTAAGGAAGATCACTTTAGTGGTAATGGTGTCAGGACTATCTTGGCACCTACCCAGCCAAGTAGTCAAACCATTTCAGGCTGATTTAACAACTTACCAGGGGGCTCTGGGTGCCTGAGACAGCAGCTCTGCTTCTTGCAAGGAGAATCCAGTTAGCTCCACCGAGATAAGCTTAGCCACTCTCATTGGCTAAAACGCAATCAACTGAGCACTCTCATCCTATGAGCGACCTATACATATCTCAGGGGAGACATCAGACTTCTGCAGGAGAAGACACAGGAGCCCAGGGAATTCAGGTAAGTTGTAAAACCTTTTTTAAATGAGGTCACAAGGGTATTTATACCTTTTTTACAACATAACTACTATGGTGTCTTTACTTATTTTACATTATTAAGTCAGCTTACGCAATGCAATATACAGTTTATGTCAAACTGTATTAAAAAAGTGTTATGAATATGTTTCATTATGATTGCTAGCTGCATGAAATGTATAAGATCTTTGCAGTTTGACCCAAATGATGGGCCAACACTTCCAGACTACAGAGCGAGCTTTGTACTCAGTCCAGATGTTTACAAATAGCTAACTAAAATGTTATCATGGCTTGTGCTATTAAAAAATATATTAGATAATAACTATATCCATAGATCTTTTTTTTTTCTTTTATGTTGTACATTATTATTGTTCTGTCCTACTTGTCAAAGCCCATGCAATAATTTCTTTAAGTTGCAGGTTCAATTCACACTTGGCAACAGTGAATATTTAATTCAAGGTGTTCATTGTCATTGGGAAGACAGGATGTAACATATGACTGTTAGAAGTATGATGCTAAAACTAGTGGTAACACTTGCAAAGCTGAAATAGACCTGCTGCAAAGTAGAAGAAATTACATCCACATGCAAGCTTACTATGCATTATGATAAAAAAAGCTGACCTGGTTATTTTAGATGTGCACCATCTCTGAAAACGTTGATGAGTGCATTCGCATTGAGCATATGCATGAGCTTATAATACCTTGAATTTAATACTATGTGCACAGCAAACACGGTTAAATAGGTATTTGTGGTGCACTTTCCCTCAATCTTAGTGACACCAGATGACATCACCCAGCTGTCGGGAGATCAGACAAACTGAGGGTAAAATCAAGTTGACAGGTCTCAAATAAATACAAAGGTTGGAAAATGAGAGTATATGTCTACATGTGTGTGTATATGTATGTACATCTATTGCTCCAGAAGGCCAACTACTCAGATGACTACGCCAATTTCAAATTGTACACAGATGGTAGAATAAAACAATAGTTGTGCCAAAATAAGAGTAGGACTAGCTCTAACAAGGTTGGACAGGTGGTTTGTGTAGTATGGTGAGATAATTAATGATTACGCTTTCAGTATATTGTAAAGCCACAGAATACATTAGCAATATTGGTTTTAGAAGAAAAATTTATGCTTGACCACTTTATATTGATTTTTTTAAATTTAATGTCTGATTGGTAGAACAGATGGGTTTCAGATGAATTTGATTCAGGTTTTTACTATACCACATGTCTACATTAATAATGTTTTTAATTGATAATATGGGAAACATGTAGCGTAGAGGCAACACATTTATGTGTCTGAGCAGAATGCAAACCTTCAAGGTGACTCTTGTTCACGTATGATCTACAAATAACAGGCTTTAAACAATTCTTACCCAATTCATTGTTTAAATGGACAGAATATTTGATCAATTTGTGTTAAAATCAGAATGTACAGTAGGAGTTTGTATTCAGTTGACTATGAATAAAACATGCAGTGTTTTAATAAAAAGTACTCTAACAGGAATTTAAAATAAAAATACAGAATTTCAGTTAATTAATGCAATTAATTTAAATTCAAAAAGATAAATTGAGTTTACAGTTGCCAAACAGTGACTTTGGTTGAGTTGGAGAATCAGCTATTTTAGCCTCAATTTTGACATTCACATTGAATTCACTAACTTAATTGTTTAGTGAAAAACCTGGTAAATAGGAACTTTAAATAGAACACTGCAAATATTTTACAAGTCATTATGACCAGCAAATAAATTAACTAAAACAATAACAATTGTTTCTACCTAATCATTTTTCATGTATAAGTGGCATGAAAATGACCATGTTTAATTTTATCGATTCTGGACATTTAAAGTGGTATGAACAGTAAAAGAGAGATCTCCATTCCCTCCCTACACACAATCACCATGGGATACATTCATCAAAGGAGAAACAGATTCAGTGTCACTGTTAGCTTATGTGTTGTTGCAGCTGCATTCACTGTTTAATTTGTTGCAAGTAAGACTTTCCTTCTTCAGAATTAAACCTAAATTGAACTGTATGTCTAAATGCCCACACAATTTCTTTACCATTCTGTTTTAATATATACCTACGGAAAAGCTTTATGCGGGAATCAATCTTGGTCGTCCGTCAGTTGCAATATATGAAATTTCCTCCAACTTTCAAAAATACTCGCCTATCAAAAGGACAGATTTGCAGATTTTATCTATACGTGGAGTACACAAAATATATTATTAGAGAAACAGAATATTCTGCAACATAAATAAATATTCAATGAAATATATCTCTTTGTAAACCTTGATTTATGATTTAGGTCACTATGAAAATTATTTCATGCATATCTTCCCATTTCTTATAAGAGAGGTGAACTATTCTTTTACCTTTATTACTTCAGTGTGTATAAATAAAGGTCTGTTGTGGGTTCAACTTTATACTCTCTTTAAACTTATGCGATAATGGTTCAAGTTGTATATGATTAGATAATTATTTTCTATACTATTATCGAAAACCCTGCTATCTGTCATGAATTTGTCAGCCTTAAAAAGGAATTTAAGCCCAGAAAAGCATCTATTTTTTGTTTGGTTATTTCATCCTAAAAGTCAAAACTGGTATTGGGTATCTGTGTAAAGCTAACGTAGAAATGCAATGTAATGACAACATTATTACCAATTTAAAGGAACATTCTAGCCACCAAAACAACTTTTGCTTAATGGAGCAGTTTTTGTGTATAGATTGTGCATCTGACGTCTCACTGCTTAATGTGCTGCTGTTTATGAGTTAAACTACTTTTATGTCTGTTAATGCAGGCCTAGCCACACCACTCCTGGCTGTAAATCACACAGCCTACATAAAAAGGTAGTTTCATTTGTCAGATGATAACTTACATTAGTTTTTATTAGCTGCTCTGTAAATTAAACTTTAAAGGGACGCTATGGTCACCAGAACAACGACAGCTTATTGTATTTATTCTGGTGAGTATAATCATTCCCTTCAGGCTTTTTTGCAGTAAACACTGTCTTTTCAGAGAAAACATTACAGCCTAGGGATTCCTCCAGTGGCCACTTCTCAGGTGGCTACTAGAGGTGCTTGCTGGGGCACTGCCATTCAGTATCTCCACCCTCTGCATGGAGACACTAAACTTTCCTCCTAGAGAAGCATTGATTCAATGCATCTCTATGTGGAGATGCTGACTGGCCATGGCTGTGTTTGGCTTGTGCTGGCTCTGCCCCAGATCTGCATCCTTGACAGTCTCAGCCAATCCAGTGCTTTCCTATGGGAAAGCATTGTGATTGGCTATTGATCAACACTTCTGATGATGTCAGCCAAGCAGGCAGATCAGGGGAAGAGCCAGCAGCAGACTGAAATAAAATTTTACTATTGTGATGAACTGGACCTCGTCACGGGTTTTGGAGGGGCATACTTTCCAGCCTCTTGCCCTGTGACTATGTACCAGTCCATCCAGCAGAAGAGCTGGCATCTGGACAGAGAACAACTAATCTCTGCCCTCTCCTTTCCCATTGTCCAGGGCCTGACTACCTGCAGGCCACCCCAGCAGAAGCGCTGGCAACTGGGCAGAGCACAGTTAGCCTCTGCCCTTCCCTAGTTCCTGGATCAAGGACCAGGGGAGTGTGCAGAATGGTCTGTCTGGTCTTGGAATGTTGTGTCACTGCTTTGTCTATCAGAAAATGTTGTTTTGAGCCTCTGGTGTTGTTTCCAATTCCCTCCTGAGTATGGCAAATGTATTGACTCATACGCCTATCAATCTTGGAGTCTAAGATGCCTGACAAGACCTTCCATGTGTAGTGGAGCCCTAGTCCTAACAGGGACTCTTCTCCGCTGGATCCACAAAAGTACAATCAGAAACAAGAAAAACACCAAACAAATATCCCACCTCCTCCCCAGCAACTGGAAGACACACAGTTCTAGGAGTACAACTGGTTTTATTCCTGCCACACACAGCTTTTATACATTGCTCCTAGCATGGGGTCACAATTACAGGGCTTTTCTTCCCAAGATCCTCTGTGCCTAAAAGAGATAATTGCGTGAGGAAAAACTATAACTTAATTATCCTTAAGGTACAGAAAAATCTACAATATTTTAAAACATCCAAAAATCCATTTTAATAACTTCAGAACCCCATGAAAGTCATATCACCGAATAGCTTGGATCTGAGCGCACACTTTGCCACAATATCACTCAGATCAGGAACGCCATTTGAACGAAGTTTTGACCGGTCGGCCATGAGGTGATGCCCCAAAACAGTTCCATAGAAAACAAGGCAATGACCGGTCATCTTTCAGGGGTTCTCACACAAACACTGGTGAATCCATTCCCTGCTTTTAGGGTAGGAATGCTCCCCCTGATAAAAACAAGTGGTAAAATATTCATATGTGAAAAATTACACTCAAGAAACACAAAACTGTACAGATAGATATAGCAGTGAAACCAATCACTACATTTGACTATCAATAAAATATAATTTTTTTAAATGTATACATGAACAGCACACGTAATACATAAATATAATGTGTATAATATTAAATTCCTTCTAAAACTAAAAAAGAAAAACATACAATATCATAGCGCAATATGTTAATGCAAGTAAATTAATCTATTTTAAGGAATAACCATGCAGTAATTGGCAAATATGCAAATTGTGTAGTCATGATTGCGAGGTATGGATGCACACGTTGGCAATCATATATACACGATTGTTTTTATATCTTTACACTGAATTATTTTTTACATTAAACATTTCCTTTCTCTTTTTCTCTCTTTTTTTTTTCTTCTCTTTTTCCCTCTGAGATAATTTAATACAAGAATCAGGATATGTATAAAGTAAATTTTTATCCCTCCCTCTCTATAAAGAAAAAAGACAAAAAAAAATAAAAATAAAAAAAGATAGAATATATAGATAAAAATAAAAATAAAAATAAAAAAGTACAATTATAGTAATTCTTTCTTTTATAAGTCTACATTTCCAATTTTATTTAGTTTATAGAATTTCATATCAAACGTCTATATCAATCTTTTTTTTTTTCTGTTCTCGTTCTCTTTCCCTCGTCTCCCTTCCCTTCCCTCTTCTTTCGTTTGTTTTGTACCACCTAAATTTTATTAGCCGTCTGTATTAATGAGACTATTTTGCTTATTTCTTTCCCCTTATTTTCTTTTAATTTCCTCTCATTTCATTTCCACCTCACCCAAATTTTTTCATAAATGTGTTGTTTGCCTTTTAGCCTATATGCCATTTCCTCGTAGATTTTGGTAGTAGAGATCTTTTCTCTTATTATACTTAATGATGGCACCTGTTTTGTTTTCCATAAACTGGCTATAGCATTTTTTGTAGCCATCAAAATATGTATAATTAACACTTTTTCTTGTGGCAATATTCTCTCTGGCATAATGTGTAGTAGGAATATTTCTGGTTGCAGGGGTATCAATGTGTTTGTAACTTTAAAAATTAATTGTTGAATGTGTTTCCATACATCAATAATTTTTTTACACTGCCAAAATATATGGGTCATAGATCCTTCCATTTCCCCACATCTCCAACATGTCCCCACGTTCTCTGGATATATTTGCGCCAATTTTTGTGGCGTCATGTACCACCGTAGCCACATTTTGTATGTTGCTTCTATGTGTTGTATATTATGTGTGGCATCCTTAGTTGATCTCATAGCCCTATACCATTAAAAGGGCTCCCACTCGTTGTTTAGCTCCTTCTCCCAATTTAACATAAAAGGTAATTTATCTGGTTTTGTTAGATTTAATATTCCTCTGTAGCTTATTGATAGCGGTTTATCTTGGGGTCGTCTCCCCAAACATAGCCTTCCAAAGTCATTCACCCTAGAATTTTCCACCTCCTTCACTTGAAGTTTCATTAAAATATGTTTCACTCTGAGATATGTATAGAGTTCCCTGTTATGAAGATCGTATTTAATTTGTATATCTGGGAATTGATGTAAAGCTGAGCCTGCTATTAGATGACGCGTTTTTGTTAATCCTTTCTTTCTCCATGTTGTTATATTTAAATCTTTTGTATAATAAGTTAAACTTTGCAGAGTTCCATAGTAAAAATAATTGCCTTTCCCCAAAAGTTTAGGGGCCCAGTAACTCCACAACCTCAGAGCTATTTGTGTTGTGGATAGGAAATTATAGTTTAAATTAAAAAAAAAAAAAGTGTTACTGAAGCCGAAAATAAGTTAGAAGAGATTGTAAAATGTATAAAAGTAAAAGATGGTAATAGAATATCTTGTATTGTGAATGGTATCTCTCTATTTCCGTATATTATTTATTTATTTATTTATTTCTTCTGATGCACAGTGTTGTGTTTTTTCTGTAATTTGAAAAAGTGAAATAAAGATTTAAACATGAAAAAAAATATAAAAAAAATATATACACGATTGCCGGCATAGAGGTTAACAAGAGGTTAAATTGTACACTCCAGACCCCTAAAGCACTTCAGCTTGCTGACATGCTTTATGTGTGAAGAGTGTGCCCTCTTTATTTTTCCAGTTTACAAAAAGTGCATATTTCAATAGAGATTTTTTAAATTAATCTTGTTACGCAACCTAAGGTTGTCAATCAGACTGGTCCTGTTTCTTCCAGGTTGTTGAGCTGAGTGGAGCTAAATTCAAGAGCCAGGTAATGGCTCTAGAGCACCTGGCTTGCAAAGACTTTTCATTGAGCTGCATTTGGAAGACAGCCACGGAAAGTTTGGGCTAGGTTAGAGGAGGAAGGCTTGCAAAGGCTTCAAAAATGCATAATTAAATACATGAATGCTTTATTTAGGGTATATCAACTAAACAGTAGACATGCAATTTGCAAAGTGATGTTATCTGTGTCACCATTGGCTCTATTTCTAAATCTAACCCCAACCTCACCATTAGCTCTATTTATAAATCTAAACCTACCCCTAATCATAACTCTTACACTATCCCTACAACTGTCACTAGGTCTAACTCGGACATCAAACCTAACGCTACACTAACAGCAATCCTAACCCTACCCTTAACCCCAACACCAGCCCTAACCATTTGTGAGTTCTTTGTACTGTGAGACCACTGCTTGAGTCCCTGCATGCTTCTGCATGCGCCCTTTCCAATCACACAGTGATTGGTGCTGTGCAAATGACACATAGAGAAAAGGACAAGCATGAAAAATAAAATAAAAAATTTACCAAGCTTGGTTAGTTAGTGATATAGTATTATCTAGTGAGAAATTAGTTAATACGCATTAAGTGACGGGAGGTTAGAGAGATTGTATTTTAAGTGATAATGGAATATCAAAGACTAGATGATAGAGAAGCATTTGGTGAATAAATAACGGTTCTATGCTCTGTGTTACTCTGAATCATTCTACATTTCCTCAACTAAAACCACAGTAACAATATCTGAAATCTATTCCCTACTGATTGCATGTAAATGTCATATCCATCTTCTACTAATATCTAGGGCAGCGTTTCCCAAACCAGTCATCAAGACCCACCAACAGTCCAGGTTTTGTTAGTATCTCCATTGGAATAAAACAGAGAAATACATAAATCCTGGACTGTTGGTGGGCCATGAGGACTGGTTTGGGAACCACTGAACTAGGGCATTGGTAGGCAAACTTTGGCAATGCAGATGTTGTGGAGTACATCTCCCCTGATGTCTGCAAGCATTATGGATGAAAGACCATTATGGTAGATAGGGTCCCTAACATCTGCAGTGTTGAAGGTTGCCTACCCCCGATTAAGGTTTATTGTCAAGTGATGTCAATAGTGATATCACATAAGATTCATGTAAGCACAACATGGTGACTAATTCTACAGCTTCTTGGTCATTGTGAAGGCCATAAAGTTTTGCCTCAACAATCAGCAGTATATTCCCCCAGTCAAAGCATGGATATAGCCCAACTTAGTTTAGACTGAACAGAATGTACTGTTACATCTTAGTAAATAACATTATTTTAAGGAAAAAATAGTATATCCAATTTCATTAATAGATAAAAAAAAAATCAGAACCTCATCGAAGCGAAAATCTATATTTCAGTATAGTTACTGATATATTGGATTGCAATATGCATTAAAAGCAGATGGACAAAAAGTGCTTGTGCTGGCTTACCTGACAATAAACTCACATTTACAACTCCTTTTATAGGTCTATAGAGGCTTTTTTTCAATTTATTGTTTTCATTGTCTTTGTTAGTAACAATAAAATATTGCACAGACATAAACGAATGGAACATATTACAGATTATTTTTAGGATAGCATCTCAAAACAAATAAATGTGCAAACAATTAAATTAATATAAATAAAACCACAAATATGTCATTTAAAAGAACAAAAAAATTTTAAATTAACAGTAAAGGGGTTCCAGAAATACACTTGATGTCAGATAAAGTTCAGTTCTCAAGAGCTTTAATATAATATTCCTAACATTTAAAAGTATTTTGAGTACTTTTATCTTTAGAATGTAGTGACAAGAGGTTTCTACGTCTAAATATATCAACTAACATGCAGAAAAAAAAAAGTTGGAGGTGAAACTTACTTTATATTTATTTGTATTAGAAGTGCATTAAAATGTTATAATTTCACTTATCTCATCCAGTTATAATGAAAAAAACTTTTGAACAAAGAAAATGTTGATGAGCCTATATTTTCTAAATTACATTTGAGCTTGTTTGTTTTTAAATGTATGATTACATTTGGTTAAATTGTAGAATTAATTAAGTTTAATTTGCATTCCTGAAATTTTTCAGCAGATATTCTTTTCAAAATGTTTCTTTCTTTAATTTTTTTTTTTTTTTATATATGTTTTCATTCAGGAGCTGGGGTAACTTGTCAACCATCTTGAGGACAGCATGATTGCCACAGGAGGTCTCCTGAGGATCTCTGCTCGGAAACAAGATCCCCTCCGACCCAAAAGCCAGACTCCGAAAAAAAAGCGAAAAGCAAAAAAGAAACGCAAGAATGATGTTGTTGTGGTGAAAGGCAAACTTAAACTTTGTTCCATATCTGGATTAATTGCTCTTTTTGGAATTTTGGTACTTTTAGTTGGAGTTGCAATGGCTGTTATGGGTTACTGGCCAAAAAGTAACTCAGTATACCATGGAAATCTAGGGAAAAATCAAGCCAAATATTCATCAGGTGATAAAAATATAATTAGTGCAAGTAAAAATCAATCCCGGAGGAATCAAAGCAGCTCTGAATCCATTCTGGATGTACCTAAAACAATAGACAGAAACATTACTAGAAGCCTTCAGCAGAAAAAGTCTCCTGGTTTTCTTGCTGGCCTGTTTTCTGGGTACTTGCATTCTGATAATCTGAAAGTTTTTGGTCCACTTATAATGGGTATTGGAATATTTCTGTTCATTTGTGCAAATGCTGTTCTTCATGAAAACCGAGACAAGAAAACCAAGATAATTAACTTGAGGGATTTGTATTCTACTGTGATTGATGTTCATGGCATGAAATGTAAGGATGGAGCTCCTTTAAATGGATTTGTGAATTATGTACAATCTCGGAGTATGGATGTTAAAGCTGGGGATACATTTGGGGCTGCCATGCTTGCCAAAACCTCTTGGAATTCATCTCTTGGTGGACCAATTACTTTCTCCCCTCCAAATTTAAGAGAGACAAGGACGTCTTCTCCTAAGTTATATCGCCAACCACCAGATTCCCCCTGTATGGCTGACGCAGTGTACAGTATTTACCGTGAGCGGTCAGCCTCTGCCCTACCATTTGAAAGAGATTTGGGGAGAGATGGAGTCAAAGGTTCCCCCTCAGAATCACCTGATCTAGAATGGGGCAGAAGGAGTATGTGCTCCATTGTTGGGTCCTCCCTCAGTGCATTCACATTGCCCATTGTGAAATTAGATAACTGCCTTTTAGAGAAGAAAGATGAACCTGTTGTTGAGAATAAAAGTGCCAAAGAAGTATCCAGGGGGGAGATTGAATTAAGTTTAACCAATTTTAGCCATGCAGACTTAAACTGGGAAATTCCCAAGACCCATCGGAAATTGTTAAGGCGCCAGAGCACAAGCTGTCTGCCTGACCTTAGGAGATCTACGTCACCCGGGCCTTTGTCTGATTTGGGTAGCCAATCTTTAAGTAGCACAGATCTCGACTGTAGCCTTTTGGTGAAAGCTTCAGAACATAACAATACAAAGCCTGTGGTTCTTGTGGATTCACTCACAATAGCACCATTGATCAGGAAAGATTCTCAGAGCTCCGAGTCTGACCAATCAAGCAATAAGGGCTATATTCATCTTGAGGAGGCAGGAACCTCCTTTGAGTCTATTGACACCTCAGCCAATAAAAACCAAGACTGTGAAGAATTTAGGGATAAAGAAATGCATTCTTTGGAAGGTACCAGCAAAGAACAAAATATAGGAACACTTCAAAGGCAGTACACTAATAAAGAAAAACTACTGATGCTGTCCAGATCACATGCTAAAATGGATGACAATGATGATGATGGTGATGATTTAGACAATACAAGAATTTAAGGGACACGTGAATACATGTTAGTGTTCCTAGTTGTGTTCCAGAATATCCTGTATTACAGGGAACTGGAACTTGCAAATATCCAAAGATTTGCAGTAGCAACAATTTGTATTGGTATTGAAAACTGCATTCTATAACAGAAAAGTAACTTAAACACCTGATTGTAATTTGTTTTTATAATTCAAACCAAACTGTATTAATAAGACAGCCTAGCAGCAGGTCTTTAACATTTACCATGACCTGATTATTTTGACAAAAATCATGCACTTTTAATCTGAAGTTTGATATTTTTTTTCCTATTTTCCTGCTGATGGCATGTCCGTAATTCCCTTATGGCTGTAGTTTGGCTTCCCTAAATGTTATGGCAGCAAGCCTGCCTTTAGGCTACATAAAATTAATTATTTTATTTTTGAAAACAAATAGTGGTTTCATATTACCTTAAGGTCTATCTCACAAAGTATTCAGATTTATTTAAAAATGTATAAAATATACAGACTTGGTTTAACATTATTAGATTGACATATTATAATGATTTTGGAAATTCTGTAATACAAATGTTTTATTGAGTGTTATACATAATAAATTATAAATATCATAAATAAACATTATAAGAAATGTTTACATTTAAGTACATAATATACAAAAATGGTTATGATTTTGAAAGCATTCTTTAAAACAGGACCAATTGTGGATTTTTGTGTACAATGATAATGGAAGGAATTTTATTATTTTGCTAACACAGTATTTTCACAATAGCATGCAACAAACAAATGAACCATTTGATTGGCCGAAGCATGTGCAAAGCACCAATGCATTACACATTGCTCTGTAATGTTTAAAAAGCAGTCTTAAAAGCGGTCGTGTATGGAATAATTTCACACTTGTTTTATAGTATAATAATTTATACAAATAGAAAATAGAGTGCATGAGAAATTGTATTTTTGTTACTTTTCATATTTATCCAGTGTACATATGCATCACAGGGCGCATATTTGACTGAAAATTAGCCTTCTGGAGTTTTATATTATAGTTCCTCTTTATTATAATAATAATGATAACTATAAAATGTTTTATTAAAAAATTATTAAAGATATGTTAGCTATCTTTTTTCTTTTATTTATGTCACAAACATACATTGCATGTGATGTTCTCAGGTGTAAAAAGTTAATTAACTTTCAGTCCAAGTAAGTTCCGCAAGTTTCATGTTATTATATGACACTTAGGTCACTAAAGGCAATTTGTTTTAGGTATTGAGAGTTTGCTAGAGTGTAGCAGACATCAGGTGCATGTAAGACTACCCAGCATCTGGACATCTGGTGATTTATTTCCCCTATAGATAACTAGAGTTGTAAATCGGTAGCAAGCTATCAAATGAGCTGAAATGTTAGGACACTCAATGCTGACACACTTTTACATTTCCTCCAAAGTGAGCAACCCAGCAATGCCTTATGCCTTGATTTTAGCACCTGCAATTCACAAGCCAAGCAAGGCATGTTGTGATCTTTAGTGAACACATGAATCTACAAACTGAGAATCATATATCAGATGTACATTATAGTAAATTCATTCTTGTGTCAAAACAGATGGGTTCTTGGAGAGGTTTTGGCCAGAAGAAGGAAAACAATCATTTCAACATCTCACTTAATTTATACACAATAATCAATAAAACCTTTTGGATCAGGACCATTTAAGGTTTGCTATCAACCTAAAAAAAATCTGTGCTGGAGGTCAATTGTTAGAAGTGCACGGGTATCTGTTTACCAATGTGCTTTCAAAACTTTCCAAAAACATTTTAAACATAGCCTGTGACACGAACCCTAACATTAGATCCATTTTGGGATCTATTCATTAAGATTCTATGCTATGTTATATGTCCATGCTAGTGTAAGCACCAGCTAGTTAAAAAAAAAATGTGTCTTCTTAATAGTTAGGCATGCCATTTTTTTTTCAATTATTATACGTTTAAATAGTTATAAGCTTTTTGAAGGGAAAATACAGGTGTTAAGCCATTTTGATCAATGTAGGTATCAAATAACCTCATGTTACTGAATATTTTATTTTAACTGCACCTCTTCTAACTTTGTACATATTGCATACCTTGAAGATGCTATATTATATTATTGTTGGCACCATTACAGAAATTTCATGAAAGTCTTTAAAGATAGTTGATAGATCCCAGTTTTCTTATAAAAATAGCAGTTGGGAAAGTAGTAAATTATATTTATACTAAATACGAGTATTATTGTTTTAACTTAGAACCCCAGTTGTCTATTTAGTAACTGGTTTTATTGATGTGAAAAACATAAAAAATGTAAAATATTGATTTAAATCTATCCAGGTTGCATATATCATTCTGTATTATGGATTTCAAGGACACATACATAAAACATAATTTGTACATAAAGGGGCTGTTATTATATTTTGGATAGTGCCTTAACAGAGAATTCACATCCTTTTCTATGTTTGGCATGCCAATATACCGCTACTATGCATCTAAGAGCTATAATTGCCACTTGTGAATGCTAAAAAAATTATTTTGTTGTGTATAATTGTCATAACAGCTGCTGTAGCTGATGTTCAATAATACGTTTTGAACATTATTAGAAATTAGGGTAGGTGCAGGTTAACTTTGTTCGTCAAGATTCATAACCTGTATTTAATAATTCCATTTAAAACTCATGTTAACCATTCCTCCTGTTTCAAAATCTACATTTCTCAAGCATATATGACGCTCTGAAAAACATTTTCGTCCCTAGTTTGTAGACAGTTTTGGAATTGTTCCTGTAAAGTGTCAGTTAACCTGGTCATAAATGTAAGCCATTAGCAAGATACTATTGATAATTGCTAACCTTTACAACTCATATGATTGTGAACTAAAGACTTTTTGTAGGTTAAACATTATTACAGAATAAAATGCATAAGCCAATCTTGCACTGAACCACAACATTTTGGTGCTCCTTTGGAACAATGTTGGCTAGCAAACTCACCTTTATCAAAATCAGACTTAGTATTAAATCATTATGAATATGTGAATGTTTGCAAATTTATTTTAGCTGATTATCTGCTTGAATAAGCTATATTAATTGTGAGTGATTACCTAAGCAAATACTATGTTTAATGCACTCTAAAAGTGCAAAGCAACAGTGATTTCATAGGAATTCTGAAATATGTCTGCCATATTGTATTTCATTTCATTGAAACAACTTGCCACTTGCATATCATCTCTTTATTAAATTATTGTATAGTGATACACTTTAAATTTAAAAAAAAAAAGAAATTCTTCAAACAAAATATTTTTTTCATAAGAAATTCATACCTGAACTTTGAGTGGTAGAGGGAAAGATGGCAAATAGACATTAGGAATATCAAATTCAATAGCACAAAATATGTTTGTATTATATATATATAATGTTATAAAGTGTGTTGCACTTATACAAAGCAGTGTTTCTGGTCTTCATTTCGATATCCCAAGAGTGTAGTTTGGTTTTAATGAGAAAATGTTTAATTCTTACCATTAACTTGGCAGTTAAAGTATGAAGGATATTGTCATTTTGTGATAGGTATATAGTAGGAAAGTGTTTTGGAACCATTACAATCCGTATGTAGAATTTTGCGTAATGCAAACTTGTCATGACAGGTTAATTAAAGTTCTAATATCTCCTTAATCAATAAATAGATCCTTATAGGATAAACCATATATTTCATTGTATCATGAGCTATTAATTCAGCACTTACCTCTTCTCCAGCACGGATGCAGCTGACAATGGGACCATTTGTAGGTGTTACACTATGCATTACCATAGACCGTATACTGAGAGCTGAATGACAGTTAAGAAAAGAGACAATATTTTTACTTATTTAAAATATATACTTTTACTAGCCTTCTATCATATTTTCTATCAAAATGTATTGGTGAAATGTTATGGCTTCTCCTTTCAGAATACATTACTGTACACCGAAGATGTACACTATACTGTATGGCAGTAGTTTCCAAACCAGTCCTCAAGGCAATTACCCAGTTGTATCAAGGTGTTTTTTTTTTCTTTCTAAAAACAACTGTAGCACAACTGGGTAATCCATAAATCCTGGATTGGGAGGCGTGCCTTAAGGACTGATTTGGAAACCACTGCTATATGATAATGAAGATAAAAATGGCTTTCATTAATATTCATTATGAATTGAGGGAAGGCAAAATATGAGTTAACACTTATGATACTTTTATGGCATATCCACAAATTTATTTACTCAGCCATGCATGGTCACATGATTACAGATGTTATATTAAGATAACTAAATAGTTGCCTCAATGAAGATTGCAAAGACATTTTATTTAAAATAAATAAAAATTGTAAAATAAATATGAAAAATGTTTACTAAATTTATAATCGTTGAGCATCTTACATAAAACTATATAAATGCTCTATAAAATTAACTAAAGAGATGGATGACGGAAAACATCCTTAGCAGATTGAATGAACAGTGTGTTTAGGAAAAATAACAACATGGATGTGTTCAAGTAATCTCAAACCACAGGAAGCCCACCCTAGAACCCTTCCCACCCCCCAATTGCACTGATGTGTCATAACAAATGGTTCAGTATCTGGTACCTTTATAAAGAGATAGAAACTGTGCTTAAATTATTCTTATTTTCTTATTATAGGTTTAAAAATTGATCTGGCTGTTAAACTAATGTACTTTAACACATGCAAATATTTCCAAACAAAGAATAAATGTTAAATCTATTGCATCACATTTGAATAGTAATTAATGGTCCTTGTATGGTGTTGATATATTGATGATATTTTCATCCCCAGAATTGATTGAATCATATAAAATGAGTATCCTACCCACTGGATCGTTTTTTAACTGTGACTTGCTTATAAAAAATGCATTTGTTCTTTTTTTGAACTATAAAAATATCTAACATCTTTTGGTCATGATAATAGGTATGCCATCTATTACATATCATAACCAAAATTTGTAATTATGAATTTACAACCAAGTAAGAATAGTTTATTACTCTGGCAAATGGTATGTTTCTGACATATATGTAACAAGTATGACCCTCTATTCCATAGTGTAGTAAAGACACAAAATTAGATTTTGTATTGATAAAATGTAGTTTAGTGTCCTTACTATATCCAACCAATAATATTAATCTAAAAGAACTCACATTGCCATGGTTCTGCAGAAAACACTACTACATGCATTTACGTCAGTTTGTACTTCAAATGTTAATTAGAGAAGTTCCCAAACAGTTTTAGTCCACAACATCTGGATTATCGAAGGTTACCTACCACTGGTTTAGTATTTAAATAACCTAATGGATATGAATGTAGAAAAAAAAATTGAAGAAAGATATCAATAGCTTCTAGACTGCCTTTTTTCCTGCATTTCTAAATGTGTTCAGTCGTGTCAATTGGTATATCTAAAAAATAAGGTATATTAATAAAATATGTAGGAGTCTTGGTATATTTGCTTTCCCTAAATCATATATCCTATAAACCTTTCATAAAGGATACCTTTATCAGCAAATATATTGAATGTAATTGTGGTGGCATTTTTAAAAACAGTTAATGTTTTTATGTTTTGCAATATCTGCATATAACTAATATTGCTTTTTTTCTTCCATTCTTCAGGCGAGAGTAATTCAAACTAAAAGAAATTTTTGGTGTATAAAAAATGTATCATGAAAACTAATAAAACATTATAGACCCATTGTTTTGCATAAAGACACTGTGCTTAACACAAAACAATATATAAGCCCAATTTTCATCTGATCAGTAAAAAAGCAGTCTTTGCATTTTCTTGCCTATTTCTTAAACACAGATGGTTTGCAGGCTTTAGATATAATTTACATATTGAAGTAATCTGCAAAAGTTACTTCTGATTAAGATCTTATCAAAATTTCCATGTAAAAAAAAAGTTCTATTTTCAAATATTTCTCTTCTCGTCTTATATTCGTGCCTTGTAATGTAATTTATCTTGGTGCTGTTTATATACGTATATTGGCAAAGTTGATTGACAATCAGGATTAGAGCTTATCTTAGGTATGTTAGTTAGTAGTAAGGGTAATGATAAACAGTCCAATTGATTACTGTACTTTACAGTAAAAAAAAAACAAAAACAAACTGCTATGGACCAGTGTTAATTTGGGCGGAAAATTTCAGTTTAGTTTTAGTCATAATCTTTTGACTAAAAGGCCATTTTAGTTCTAGTCGTATTTTAATCTGAATTGTTTTAGTTTTAGTCTAGTTTTGCAAACAAAAAAAAACAGTGGAGCGCGTGTTATTTTATAAAAGTGCATATTTCTACAGGCAAAAAACCCATGAGAAATACAAAATCACTTAACTTTTAAGTGTTTCAACTTGACTACTTTCTTTCTTTACACCTTTAAAACAGACAAAATATATATAGTGTAAAACCACCAAAAGGTTATGTGTCTTATATTAAAATAATGGAACACTCACATATTCCAGAGCCATATAGACCAAGCTCTGATATGGAAGGCTTGTGGGTCCGTTATGGGCGACCCCTCCCCTTTTCCATGGGGTAGATTGCCAATGTGTAGAGTTGTCTCAGGAAAATAGAAATAAACAATATAGTATAATTCTGTTTGGTATATAAAGAAAAGAGTGGCTGATTCTTATATACTCTCAAATGTAGAGCCTGTGACCTGGCTCAGTAAACAAGCTTTGTGTAGTTGGGGACTACACTCCCTTCTGTAGTAGTGCATGAATTCAAATGGGTATTTTAAAACAATCACTTTATTAATAATTGTATAAAAAACAATAAAATGTAAATACAAATACCAGTGTATAATTCAAGTCTTATGCTGTAAGAAATGCGTTTAACCGTTCTCTCGGCTTCCTCAGTCATAATTTGATAGACTCGTCTGGTTCCTGCTGTTTAAATATCCCTCTCTCTCACAGCTGTTGCTTGTTAATTCTAATGCTGGATCGACGTTGCATTCCAAGCCTCAGTCCAGCCGTCTATTCCTTTGCTTCGTGCTTCCATATGATGTTTCTTGTGGGGGCGTGTGGACTTGCGTTCCACCTTGCGTTCCACAGTCCTTGTACTTCCTCTGCCCTTGTACTTCTCTTGTTTCTTGTACAACTTCTCTAGACTGTAGAAAATTAAGAGGATGTTTTCCACTCACATTGCATGCATTTTGTTGTTGAATCTGTGCATGCATTTGTGCTGAGTAATATATGTCACTTGCACTAAAACCAAGAGTGTACTATATAGAAGAGAACACCGTTTCATTGTACATGGAATATGCACAGCATGGAGAAATGATGGAATGCAAAGACCGTTTTTCATGGAAAAATGCTTACCGAACATTTGCTCCGAATAAATATTTTGCTATAGAATCTAGACGTGCCTGATAATATATACAAATTAGAACAAATAATGTGTTGACATAACAAAAAAAAGCTGCTTATTGTAATACTTATTTTTCCTCTCTTTTGCAATGTTAAGAAAAATTCTATTTGGCATATGTAGGATGATAGAGGGCAACCCAAACACACATGATTGTGATCTTGTAAGAGCTGATGTATTAAGTATGTATTAAGTAAAATAAAAATACTATCTGTGTTTTCTAGGAACATACCAGGGTGTATTTTAGCTCAATGTAACCCTATATTTTATATTTTTTCTATGCAATTATTAGATAATGTATTATAAAAATGTATTATTAAAAATATTTTTACATGTATGTACAGTGGAAAGTGTACCCTTGATTCCTACGGGAACTACTACACATACATAGAATAAAGAGTTCTTTACATCATTCCCTGAGTTTAACAGAACTTTTCCTGTCTCCTCTCACTATATCACGAGTAAATTACTGCTAGACTCATTTATTTTGTAAAAAACAAGAAAAAAGGTTACCTGCACACTATCCCAAATCCCAATGCATATTTAAATAAATTGAGGTTATTTAGTAACTCCAATGGCCATTAGATGCAAGCCCACCTGCTACATCAAGGCAAGCCTCTTACGTGGGTCCTGCCACCCAGGAGTAGTACAGGATTTATTTTTGTGTATTTGTACCCACTTTTATATCACACAGCCATGTTACAATGCTGTCACTGACCCCATGTGCTCCCTATTAAAGGACCACTATAGTGCCAGGAACACAAACTCGTTTTCCTGGCACTATAGTGCCCCCTCAGGGTCCCACTCTCGCCAGGCTGAAGGGGGAGGAAGGGGGTCAAACACTCCCACGGCGCTGGGGACTCTCCTCTTCCTTCCGACGTCATCGGCTGAATGAGCATGCGCGGCAAGAGCTGCGTGCGCATTCAGTCAGTCCATAGCAAAAACTGTAAAAATCCCAGTGAGAAGTGCGAAAGCGCCTCTAGTTGACAGCCACTAGAGACTGGATTAACCCTTAATTAACCATAGCAGTTTCTCTGAAACCGCTATGTTTACAGCAGGCAGGGTTAATCCTAGAGGGACCTGGCACCCAATCCACTTCATTGAGCTGAAGGGGTCTGGGTGCCTATAGTGGTCCTTTAAGGATTAATAAGTATGAACTTGTTTAGAAAAATACCCCTCCCTCATTAGAGACTTATTTGCCTGAAGCTGAAGGAAGCAAGGTGAATTGTTAGTGTAGGACCCACATAAGAGGTTTGCCTTGACATGGCAGGTGGACTTGTATTTAATGGTCATTGGAGTTACTAAATAACCTCCATTTATTTAAATATGCATAGGGATTTGGCCTAGTGTGGAGGTAACGTTTTCTTGTGTTTTTTATTGTATGTATTGGGGCTTCTGTGTGCTATGGTTGTTACTGCCGTCCTGGGGTAGTGGGAATTTGAGGGCAGGACTTATTTTTGTGTATTCATTTAATTTGTCGCCAACTAATGTTGAACTTAAAAATATATAAAATTCAATAACAAAACATAACGTCCTTCATCTAGTAATAGTAATCTCACACCTTTCCAAAAATGTTTTCATTACAAAATCATAAACGATTATACATTATAAACTATACAATTGTAGACCAATGTATTTCTGTGTTTACTCCTGTGGTATTACATAGTTACACAGGCTGAAAAAGACATGTGTCCATTAAGCTCAGCTTTTCTCACATCTGTTTCTGCTGTTGATCCGAAAGAAAGCAAAACAAACAAGTTTTAAGCACTTTCCAATTTTGCAATTAGGCAAAAACTCCTTCTCAATCCTGCAATAGCAGTCAGATCTCACCTTGCATCAAGAAGCTTTAATAATTAAGTATAATTATAATTATTTTATTACTTATATAGTGCCAGCAAATCCCATAACGCTGTAAACTCTTGTTTGTCTACTTTAACAAATATTTATTCAGAGACAACTACTCAGCAACCAAGATTAACTAGAGCAGCATACCCACTACATACAATTAAATATAAAACTCACAGTGCTATACAAGTCAATGCTACATAAACCAATTAAAGGAACAAATCGACTATTTGCAAATATATCCACAAAACCCAAGTAGATCTTACCCACAGCAAGACTCCATTATACAGTATATTTAACCTATGCCCTGTGGCCTAACTAGAGCTGTTGACTTAGCTTAGCTAAGCTCCCAGTTCCAGAATCAAATATGATTCTCTGTGCCTTTTATTCACCTATGCAGAATAAATAACGGTTCAGGCACTCTGGGATAACAAAAATAGCAGCTTTATTGGGGCAAAAGCAGCAACATTTTGACCCTACCAGGTCTTTATCAAACTTTATAAAGACCCGGTAGAGTCGAAATGTTGCTGATTTTGCCCCAATAAAGCTTCTATTTTTGTTATCCCAGAGTGCCTGAACTGTTATTTATTCTGCATATCTTGGAAGGGAAGCCTGGCCAGCCCTGGGTTGTTTGGGAAGTGCGGTATCCAGTACGTCTCATTTATTCACTTATGACTTCAATTGGACTGGGGAATTGTTTGCAACCCAAAGCTGTTAATGTCACATGTTCATCTTCACCTTGTGACATTGATAGTGGTTGCCTTGCCAATAAACGTGGTAGTGCCGTTCAGCGGCCATGCGTCAATGTGTCTGTCCCCTGCAGCATGTTGATGGATGCCGGCCCCTCCGGATCCACACTAATTTGAAACCCCATGTCCGACCACGGCATGGAAGACGTCGACATGCACGTGACATCATGTAAAGGACACACACGCACCTTCTGGGGTCAAAGGCCAATCGGATCCACAAGAGGGGCATTTAAGGTTACCTATTCCTTCTGCTCCTTGCCTTGTCATGGTTTCCCTAGTGGTTGTCTGAGAGTGTATTCCTGAGCGTTTATTTCTGTTAATTGACTTTGGCTTCAATTGACTTCCCTGTATTCTGGTATCCCTGACTTTTGGCTTTCCCTCATCGTTGTGTCTCATTCTGTATCCCTGACCCTGGCAAGTATTCTGACTATTCTCTGGTACATTAAGTCCGGCCATTCTAAGGCCCGGTAAGACGTTACCTTTTAGTCCTAGGTGTGATACAGTTCTACGTGCTTGATCAACTTGTAATCCTGACATTACGACATGGCCATAGATCCTGTAGAATTGTGTCAGCACATAACAGCTTGCGAGAGAAAGCTAGAGGAGAATGATCAATTTGCCCAGGCTTTCAGTACGCTGCTCACTAGAACAGCACATCTTCAGCCTGAGGCCTCTCCGACTATGTCCTATAGTACATAAAGCACCTACTATCTTCTTATCTCCTCCCCCGCATTTGGATGGTAATATTCAGGAATGCCGGGGATTACTGAATAAAATTGATTACCACTTTGAGGCCTCAGCGGGATCTTTTGCCTCAGATAGAGCTAAGATTGGTTACCTACTGAACCAACTTAAATGTAAAGCCTTAGCTTGGGCCAATCCATTATGGGGGAGTAGTAGGAGTATTGCGTATAATTACCAGGAATTCCTTATGGAATTCAAATTGACATTTGAACCATTAGGCAGGGAGGATGACAACTCCACTGCCCTAATGCATATCAAACAAAGGAGCCTCTTATGTGTCTATCTCAGATTATACCATAGAATTTCCCACCTTCGCTTCTGAGGTAGACTGGACTAATAGTGGGTTAATCTCTGCTTTTAAAAAAGGATTATCCAAGGCAATTCTAAATGAGATTGCTGCCAAAGAACTACCTAAAAATTAAATAAGTTTATTACATTTGTTATGCTAATTGATAATAGACTCAGAACCAGAAATAAAAGCAGATATATGGCTGTGCCATTAGCACCTCATTTCTCCAGACCTATTGTTCCTGACTTATCTGTACAGTCAGAACCCGAACCTATGCAGCTGTGGGTCACTAGACTGTCCGAGGCAGAAATATAATATAGGAGAAGAGAGGGTCTATGCCTATGTCTATATTGTGGTAAAAAAGGACATATGAGCAGTACCTGTTCCATACATCCATAAAACATCCGCACCTAAGAACCTTAAGAGGACAGGTCTTAGGTGTAATGGATACGTCCTCTGGAAATAACCAAAGTAGGTTTCTCCTTGATGTTATGGTCTTGTGTAACACTAACAACTTTTCATGCAAAGCCCTGATGGATTCAGGAGCGGCTGGGAATTTCATTGACATCCAGTTTGTTAGAAAACACTTGATACCTAGCAAGGAGAGATCATCACCTCTGACCGTAGAGGCTATTGATGGGAGACCTTTATCTCAACCCTTAATTACCCATGAAACCTTGCCCATTAACATTTCCATTGCGGCCTTACACAAGGAGGACATAACGTTCCAAATTATTTCTTCTCCTTCTTGTCCCATCATATTAGGATTTCCTTGGCTTAGTAAGCACAATCCTCATATCGACTGGGCAAAGGGAGAAATATTGGAATGGGGCAAGGACTGTACTGGGAGATATATGTTGTACATAACCAAAAACGTGGGTATCATTACCTTACCTACCACTACACCTCAAAGTTCCCATACAATATCTGGAGATTAAGGAAGTATTTAGTAAGAGTCAGTCCAATATCATATCTCTTCACAGGTCATATGACTGCACCATAAATCTGTTACCCGGCGCTATGCCACCTAAAGGAGCAGTATATGCCTTATCGCCACAGGAGAGTAACATAATGGAGGAATATATCAAAGACTCATTAATCAAGGGCTATATTTGTAAATCAACCTCACTTGCTAGTGCAGGCTTCTTTTTTGTAGAAAAGAAAGATGGAGAGTGTAGCGAAAGTGACCTCGCCACCTGTTTTTGGAGGGGCCTGTTTGCCAGCCTCCTGCCCTGCGACTATGGCCCTGGGATGTATTGCCCTTCTAGGAACTGATGTGGGCATACTTGATTTTATTATGCTGCTGCTGGCCCTTTAAGAACCATCTGGGGCATACTGTGGAGTTACTGGGTGGCCACCATTTCATGTATCAGAGGCACATGGTGAGAACAATGGATGAAGCACATGGTGAGAACAATGGATGGCGGCCATTTTAACTCACAGACACTGTTTGGACTTTTCTACACTGTGCTATCTCGCCGGTATTTGGTGCATAAAGACATCGTGCAGTAGTTTTAAACTATACAACAGGGGACACATTTAACAGTAATTATTTTTCATATAGCCTGTATATGTTCTGCTGAATCTGCATTAAACTGGATCTTCCAAACTACTGAACAGATCTGGGTGAATTTTGGATATGTGGTTCAC